ACTCATCGCGTTCCTCCACCCACTGCTTTGACTGTGTTTGTATATTATATAGGAAAACTAGAGCAATGAATAAATTTTAGCTAGTAATTCAATTCCCCCAGCCTCCTCTTCAGGGTCAAACATTCAATACGTGCCCACTTTTTGCTCGTATAGGCTCAAAGGAATTCCAGAGCAACTTTGGGCGCAAATAAATACGAGCAAAAAAATGGCTTCGCTCATACAAGGCCTACACCATGGTAATAATCGTTAAGTAAAACTACAGACATCTGTGCCTTTTCTGAAATTGTTCTGGATTAATTTGGAAGGAATACGCTTCCGTTATATAACATTCATGGCATCTTCCGTAACCTATGGGATTTTCTATATAGCCTCATACCAAAGATAAGCTTAATGAGACAAAATCCGATATCGCGCAATTCGCTAGCATGGCGCAAGCACTGTGCAACAATGTATTCACTCGATTATGTTAAAACAACATGTGCTAAAACTGTATAGGGTTTCACCTCTCGATTCAATCCAGGAAGCTACTTTAATAGCCCCCTGGAGCTTTGCAAAAATAATTATTATTATCTATCAAGCATCATTAGCCATTGCTTACCTCCGCGCTAATAGAAGAAAATCTTCACGGCAGCCTCATTTCCGTGATATAGGGAACAACATACGATAAAGATTTATCCTGAGGTGAGCTTTTACCACTTATGCGAACCAAACTTACGATACCACTGTATGCAAACGAAATAGCGCCTGGTTAGTTTGCCCCTCTCCGTTCGATAGATCGCCCTAAAACGATATTCGTCACACTCCACAGCACAGAAAATCCTGACCGTCAATGATACAACAACAATGTCTCATGAGCTGCGACAGTTGTTACGATATTATTCCGTAACTTCATGTAAGATCAGTAAGGTAATATCAAAGGCCTCTATTAAGATTACGCATTAATATCATCATATCTATGATATTATTGATATGAACTTAGCTGTGTTTATCATTTTAAACTCTATACCTTATATGTAACTACCTAACCAGAAAGAAGGTATCAACGAATAGTTATAAATTCGACGACACTAATTCGAAAAGAATCTAAGTCTCGCGCATCAGTGAAAAATCTCAAAATTTAGGGGGCAACACTCAGTCGTCATAAGCTATGGAGACATCCATAAACGATACTAAACTATAATGCCATAATAATCATGTGTATACGCTAGTCCTTATCAGTTCCGCTGTAAGAGATTTCTCAAATCCAGAGAACAAACCCTCAAAAACTCTCATACTGACTTCATACTGTTTGAGCATCATCTGCTTTCTGAATACATACGTCCTTACTATTGGAAAGTTAGAGGAACTCAGTACAAATTTATAGATCTCGAAAAGCCTATATTTTTCGGTATACAACAGTATCTAGCTTTGCGGTGGTCTACATTCTAAGTATGAATTAATCGGTGTCCGTGTCAGTGTCCGAAACAAGTGTGGTTTTGCGTACTTAAAGTAACGACGGAACCGAAAAAATCAATAGGAAGTTTTCTGCCTTCTTTCTGCCTTGCTTCTACTCTAAATACTAGACTGACGGCGGGAGAATGCTTACTAGCACAGCAGAACGAAACAACTAGTACAACTTTCCACTTGCTTCTTCTGTTTCACTCACAGTATCCGAAATCGGTCGGACTCGGTCCATCCAATGACCTTACTCATCCCAAAAAGACACCAAATATCAGGATCTCCGGGGCAGGGAGCCTCTTATCCGTAAGGCCACGCCTAGCCACATTCCGCCTACATACATGTACTGTGGTTAAAAGTCTGCTTAAATTTCATGTTTATTATATACTACTAGCATCACTACCGCCAGTGCATTTTTCAGGATGGAAGAGGAACAGTTTGACAACTTCGGTTGGGACACAAGATACGTTCGAACTGTCGTTATAAGAAGCGCAAGCGATCAAGAAAGACGCAGATAAATTACTTCGTTAAAAATCTTACTTAGCGAAGATTCCATCTAGGGATTGGAGCCACGGCCCAGCATCTTAATTAGTTTGCGATCTCTTTCTTATTTTTTTAAAGATATTTTTCAGGAATTATATGCATTTGACCCATGAATTATCTTCGCGAGCACATAAAATCTATGGATTTGTTTTGATTAAAAAGAATTATTAATGGCCAGCCACTGGTTTTGCAGAAAAGTGCAGCTAGTTATTACAGATCGTCCATGAACGGTTGAAAGTCATAACACAACATAAAGTATGACGCGAAGTGTTCTTTCACTTAATCCAGAGGGATCAGGTATAAAGGTAATGATTGTTTAAACTGAGGTTAACCTGAGGTGATTCTGAAAGTTCCGCTAGCTTTTTGAAGATCATTTTTGTCATTAAAAATTCGCACAGAGTAATTGTAGAGCTGCCAGCTACTATGTGACAAGAAGTGTCCACTTGTTCGCTATCCGGGTCGCTGTTGGTCATCCTCATTCATAGTTTCTTTTTACTTTGTTCGGTGATAAATGTAATGATTTTACCTTAGATGATTGCGCTTTGAAAAGCTAAGATAGATAAAGCAGATCAGATCTTGGCCACTTCTCAAAATCTCCAATCAGTGGGAACATGTTTTAGGACAAGGTTCATATGCCCTATGTCCCATTCTAAAAACTGATAGAAAAGTACAACAACTTTGCTGCAATGTTTCTACTATGTCCGTACAGTCTATTTCCGATATGAGCCGTCCTTCCGTGACGCATTCGTTCTACACCGATACAACGATAAAAACTAAAAAAACATTAGTTTTTTCTACTAATGGTTAAAAATAAGTCAAAAGAGACCAGCTGTTGCTTCTAGTGGTTTCTTCGGCGCTTACGGCGCATAGCGTAGTAGCTTCCTGTGCGTCGAAAACGCGTTTACCCTTTTGTTGCATCATCTCCATTAGCCTGCCGCTGCCGACTTTAGTTAGCATCGGCTTTTTCATCGCTGCTGCTTTTCTCGCGCCCTCTGACGCCCAGCTAGTTCTGCAATGGACCCATCACCCGTTTACACACACAATATGCTATGTATATATAGAGGCTATGCCGTGTATTCCTCTCTACCTTTAAAGTATCGCTCGGAAGTTTAGCTACACCTCTGCCGCCACAAGTACTCGTTCGCGAAGTTCACAATCTATTTATGCAAATAGAAGTGCATAAAGACGCCGATAACGACCACGATCTCGGTGTTGCCTCCGAATAGAATTAAATATGCATATATATGACTTCTGAACTGCGCCCGGCTGCTAGCCAGAGCTTAAGTCGCTCGCTCGCATTTCCGGAAAGTTAACGATCGACTTTGATCCTTTTTCATCGGACGATTTCATTCTTCAGCAGCGGTCGGTGCTAATGTCGCTACTATGATTACGACCGGGGTAGCCCAGAAGATAAGAGAAATTAAGAGGACCAGTTAAAGTGCTGGGTAGACTCCTATCTGCCTATCGGTTATTGCAGTGGACGATACCTGAAGTAGTGGAATGTTGATCTGCTTTAATAGTTGGAAAATCTCCTGGCACTGAATTGTAGGGGGAAGTGATATCGTGCGCCCGTACCTTACTTATGTACCCCTTTTCCCTTTTTTGTTGTTCTGCTTCTTCACTTTTTTTTAGGCAAATTCAGGACCACATACATACATTGTCTGATGTCTCTTGTAAACAATGATATAAAACAAACACCCGGATACAATTAGATGTTCCATACGGAAATGGCATTAAGTGGAACGTGAACCTTGCTTCAAAAGAAAAGTCATTGCCAAAAAATGGCATTTATCGAATGGGTTCGAGGTTATTGCTGCCACAGAAGGTAGTATCCGATGCCCGGGTTATTTAAAGGGGTCATCTTAGTTTAGAAACCCACAAACGACAGAATATGCAAGTAATATACTCAGAGACCTATAAAAGTCAATATATTTTGAGAGTTCGTAAAAAAATCGACCTTTTTTTATTTCACGTGTGAATAGTCCCGTTTGTTGGCTTATTTGTAAGAAGACAAATACTAATGAAATTCAGTTAAGTTTTTCTTCTTCGTTCAGTTTGATAAATTTCAGCATCGTGTTATGGCCTGTGTCAGAGTTATTAATAACAGAGTTAAGTTATTAAACATTTTCATATAAAACGTGCACACCCCCGATTGTTTACGCAAACATTTGTTATTAAACGTTTTATTTATTCATAATATTTTGATAATGATGATAATTATAACCAACGCAAATACAAGATCGTACTTAGCCGTGCGTCTCCCGTAAATGCTTCCGGCGTCTTTAGATAATGCCAATGACTTGAGGAAATATTCATGGAGCATTTTAGTTGCAGAAAAGAGTTAAGAGTAAACTTCAAACGTTTCCTCCTCTTTTCTTTCTATTTTAATGCCCCTTGACAACCGTTAAAAGTATATTTGCGTTGTCCTGTATTCGTATCTTGTGTTCCGCAGGAGTGAGCACTCTAAACTTCAGCGAAGAGGCGTCGTTTCTGTGAAAAATGGCCTATCCGAGACGTTCGCCCCGGCTATCCTACAAGTGAACCCCAATGCGCTTTGGAGAATCTATGAAGTGTTATTCAAACCTAGAAAAAAAAGCTAGACAAAACTGTTTCTACCTACACGTAAAATTATCTCACGTGTAAATGTATATGGATACTACATATTGGATTGAATACTACATATTGCCGACCAGGATCAAACATTCATGTGACGCAAGGTAACCGGGTTTTGGCAGATGCTGAGATGGCATGTGGAACCGCTATAAAACGAAAACGACTGGTATAATAACTACCGGTGGTACTTTTAACGTGCTTGATAAGTGCTCCCTGCGGCAGACCGCCGTAATGTACGACAAAAATGGATTATAGCTTAGTTAAGTATCTTTCTATTATGGAAGTTGTAACAGGTTCCGCACAAGTTTCCACTTTTCGTCCTGGACAGGGCAGCCGCAATTAGTAAAGCAAATTGCCTCGCGCAATTTTTAACTTGACTAAACAACCGAATGAGAAATTTCCTGGAATAGAACCTTGGTTTTTTATTTTTTACTTTCTTTTTCAATTTACATTTCCTCACTATGCTCTCGCTTTCTCAAGCGCAAGGAACCTGTTAACAGGTTCAAGTTACTTGTCACAGCAATGATTGCTCTATTTCCATTACAGGTACTACTTAATTACCGAAATTCAAGCTGAAAAGTGAGTATCTAAGAAAATTACATATATAGTTTATTTTGAAGTTGTTAAATATTACTACCATTAATCATTTGATATTATATACAGCAGTTAGCTTCCACTCAATCGGCACGCTATTGTCCAGGTATACTTAGTAGTTCATGTAACATGACTGCTCTGGCGTTGATCGTTCGCGGCTGAATCTTTCCGTTCTCTTTTTGTACGACCTCGAGCAATGTTTTCGATGTTTTGCCCCAGTTGTGGTGCCGATGTCTTCTTACCTGCCAAGAAGAAGCGGACCTATAACCTGAGCTAAGCAACAGCGCTTCGGCAGACTTGGCACGCATTCCTATCGGCACTTTGTGTCATCTGTCACAATATGACGGACATTCGAGGGCGAGCAACTTGCGATCATTCGTATGAGTATATCTGTTTACAGGTCGCTCACGCGTCCAGCAAAGAGTACAGCGTTCGAGTGAACATCCTCAATCAGGAAAATGAAAGGTCGGTCCGCTCTGAATTCGGCTGTTTTTGGATTCATGAGGCTTGAGTGCTGATGGATAGCGGCAGTGGTTGCCAAAGCTTCGGTACCTTTCTCATCTACGTCAATAAGCGCTTTGTGGTAAATTGTATTTAGCGCGATCACTGGGCGTGCCGCGATTCCAGTTAGGTTGGCAAAGTTTGGTGAGAACATCGAATTAAGACCGACTTCTTGAAGAACTCCGCGCATATCGTAAGCAAGACTCAAAGAAAATTTCGGCAAAGTCAGGTATACTTTCTGCTTGATTGTTTGACCGAGCTCCTCAAGAATCTGCGAGTAGCTTATGGTGTGCTCGAGTCGATAAAGGTCTTTTGTGTTCTTTGGTAGGATGACCACCATAACCATATCCCCGTTACGGTATGGTAGCTCAATTGCCTGATAATCCTTGTTGTCAATATGGATGAAGTTGCCTTCTTGGTACATAAGGGCAACATTGTTTACCCTATGAAAGCCGTGAAACTTGTCCTTCTGGGTATTCTCTGAAGGAAACGGATACTCCCAATTGCCCTGAAAGTAAACCGCGTTTAGAACCACGAGTGGTATAGTCGGTGGTAAGGGTCTTTCTAGCAGTACCGGAATCTTTCCTTTGGTCTGATCTTTGACCCAGTTGTTCAGATCCGATACAGCTTCTTCAGGAGCAGTTTTTAAGGGTGCCGAGTATAATCCTGCATTGTAATATTTCTGCAGCTCGTCGCGGTATTTACGATTTACTGCCAGACCCTCCGTGACGAAAACTCCATTGGCTATCTGAAGCTCAAAGTCTTTTACGGCAGGTGCGAATGACGCGAGTAGATTACCGACAGCCATATCCAATGTAGTCTTATTCAGCGCATAGCGAGGCAGTTCCAGAACGTCCTCTATTTCTCGTTTCGTCAGGCCTCGCGCGCCCAGATGGATCATTCCAACAATCGCTGACACGGCTATGGGTGACAGAAAAATGTTGCCCTCCTTTCGATTCAGCTGCCGATAGATTTTCTCCCCAAAACGATTGTAGAGCATAACCACCTGTTTGGTATCCTTGTCGAGAGGCTTTTTATCGCCGCGGACTGTCACTACTATTAGAACTACAATCATTGACGCCGTTCTGATTAGCATTTTGCTTGACTAACGTATTTTGGATCTTCGAACGCTCGCCGTATTCACGTATGCCCCGTATTTAGCCAGTTGCTTTAGCTCGGCGGCGTAGCTTATCGTTGGGTTATTTTCAACTTTTTTGCTTCACAAAACCATCAGGTTGACTTTCTGTAATTTTGATTTTTAAATCGCACACGTTCGTTTTTCTGTAGATCCTTAGTGTGTGTATATAGGATGCACTATGTACGACAGCAGGTGGCGTTCATGATGTACGCGGTCAATGAAACCAATGGAGTTATCAAGTAAAGGATCAAGTTTAGGGTAGGCTTTTTACTTGTTTACCTGCTTCGATTAATTTGGTTAGAGGAGAGATATGGTCGTCGTGTGTTACGTCCAGCCAAGCTCACATATTCACTCTAAGAAACAACAGAATTGGCAGCGTGGACACGTTCAATCGGCAGACATCCAACGAAGTCTCGAAATGAAAAACACAACGCAGTGGTAAGCAAGTGTTGAGTTTCGTGATTTCTTTTTTTTCTCACTCGTTATTTCCTACATTAGATTTTCGCGCAAGTACGGCCGTCGTCTGGAGGCCGCTCGCGAGGCAGACAATGAGATAAGCTGGTTACGAGCTGGGTACTGGCGCGGCTGCTGGCTACAGAGATGACAGCAAGTAACAGTCGTCAACGGAACAGACAAACAATAAAAATCTGATACGAAACGAACGGAGAAAAGTAACCCATATGCACGGCGACAGACCAGACAATTGCTGGTTCGTTTTGAACGTTTCGAAGGTAAGGAAGTCAACGCGGCAAATATGAACCTCTCCGGTGACAGTAGCGATTTTGGCGGTGGCTGCACCGCCGTCGCGAGGGCCACGGCGGCGCGATGCTGTAGGGGCGTTTACTTTTACTGCCACCATCTGGATGCTGTTAGCAGTCGCCACAACAGCCCTCAAGAAGAGACTGCGGTAGAAAAAGAACCTTAGAACATATTACAAGGGAGAAAGAGATAAACATGCATGTACACACAATAATATCATCCAGAAGTTGTCGCAGCGCCACCGCGGCTATATTTGACACCGAAATAAGTAACAGACTCAGCAAGAAGGGCATCGTTGACATCATCACCAACAACTTCATCTTTGCTGGGTGTAAAAAACTCTGCCCGTGGGATTCTCTCTTCCGCGCGGACGCCATGCACCGTACGCCGCACACCTCACCCCGTGCAGTCGGCAGACGAAAGGGAGAATAAGTCGAGACGAAAAATTATACAGCGGATGTTATATTGCTGGATAATAGTTCTTGCCACTGCCGCGAAAGCCTGACACAGTAGCAGATTTCTCTATTAGAAACGATAGCAGCAAAATGCTGTTGCTTGGAACCATCGAAACAGAAACAGCGACAGCATCCATTACAATGGATGCGATGGAAAGTACAATATTAATCGTTGCCTTCACTGCTATTCTTCCAGCTGTCACTGTAGCTAGCAACCACATAAATTTGTATTCAATGCCTGTTTTCTTGCCGGCGTTTGACGGACAACGTAATACGTTGGCGTCACTAATCGTTGTGCCGATCCTTCGTTTGTCGCTTATTTGTCGATCGGACCGATGTTCGTATTCTGCTTAAGGAGGACGCTTTTAAAAACTCATTTTCTCATTGCTTCGTATGCATTTCTATTTTGGTTCGGTTCATTAGGTTTCCATTGAGCTATCAAAACGAAAGGAGGTTCTGTAGACGTCTGGAAACTGTGACAAATTCTGCATAGCAGCGTTTTCCTATCTTTTATATCCTATGCGTAATACGTGTCCGTATTATACACGTATTCTTGTCGATGTATGTATTTCATATCGTGTCTACACGACAATATGAATTTCATCGTACACGTATAAACATTATAGCCGTTTATGCAGTGGCTATCATATATAAATCATGTGTAAAAATGGTAAGTGTTTCCAGAAAGGCACATCTGGCTTAAACTGTAGGAAAGTTGAGTGCCTCGCACGCAGCCGGTGAATATAACTAGCGTTATGTGCTCTGTGTCTTCCTGAAGGACCTTCGTGTGTACGCGTTATATGACCGAATGTAATATAGAGACATGCACTTGGTGACGCCTGCTAGTCTGAACCGCCTGACTTTGGGACCGACCTGTTACTGATTTGTCGGTCAATCTGACGTCAAGACGTATGCGTAATAGTGGTACGTTATCCGTATTCGAAATTGACCATCGTTAAAGCGATGACGACCTCTCGTTCTGTACGACGATTAAGGTGATAATCGGGTTTCGTTACGCAGAAAGGACTGCTGCAACAAGTCAATCTGTTCAATAGAACAGCTCGATCCAGTCAATATATTTCTTTTATTTATTAAAGAAAAAATATTTATTTATTTTATTAAAACGCGCTTGAACTTGCGAAATGCATAGGCTCTATGTGTGTAGCTTCTGTCAAAATATAAGTCGGCTCTGGGGTCGATTGTAAATTCAATTTGGTATTTTTGCGGCAGTATAAAAGCAGTTTTGTGACGGCTCCGAGCATAGGTGCACTCTATTTAGGCCTCGACCTGAGTAGGCGGAAGCGATGCTTAACTGCAGTAGCCAATGTAAAGCCGAAAACGTCTATTTACTTAGCTGAGAAAACCAACAGGCGTCAAGTAGTCTAAACGAATTCGGTTATGTAAAGTACGGATGCCGTTCTGCCGTGTATGATAACCGTGAACAAAATGGAAACATACGTTTGTGTCAGCTATACGGCCCGAGCGGTAAAATCGTCTGCGCGCGTTCTGAACGAAATACCTGTCGACACATTGTAACAACGTTTTCGTGCTCCGTATCTAGTACCTAGGCATTCGTTCAAAGGCTGGCTCACGGCAAGGACGAAGAGTCCCTACCGCCGAATTTGAAAATCTATATTCGTACACTTAGCAGGCAAACAAACACCCACTACGCAATCACGGACACACCTCGTCGCAGTGGCGTTATGTCCAGTGATACTGCATTTCCCGTGTGAACGATGGCTTCCTCGTCCCAGCTAATTTGAACAGTCACAATTCGATTCCTATCTTAGGCGCTGCCTATTTTTAGATCTCTCATTATTTTTATAGTTAGTAATATATGTTTCAAACGTATGTACACATGGCCAAACTTTACAGGCATGTAAACAGGCACCTTTGTTTAGACGCGTACAGACATATAAGAACCTCCGTATTTTCCCATTTCTTACAGGTTAAAATACATACATACATACATACATATAGATAGTATGCGATTCAAAGATACAGTGGAAGATCTTTGATTTTCAGTTCTGAGATTAATCATCACTGCAGATGTCCTAGAACGATTAGGCCACAGCCTAACAATGATCGTTCGTAGAGCTTCTTGCATAGAAATCGTATCATACAGCTTCAAGCAGCTCATTAATAACCGAAGTCCTTCAAATTAGAAATCGAGTACATTTTTAATTCGTATTCTAAATTTTGGCTCAAAATTGTTTTAATTACTCCCTTATTCTGCTACCGGTAACGAACGGAGGGCAACTGTACCAGCCCTGAATTTCGTTTTCGTACCAGAAAGCAAATAGACTCCAATTTAGACACTCTTTTTTTACGACACGTAGATTCGCAGAGATTAAAAAAATAGTCCTGAATTAGGTGATCTCTCGGGGCCTCGGAAGTGTTTATTATGTTAAATGAACACATAACGCTGTGGGATATTATAGATCTCTGCGCAGTTCATACGCGATAATCTTTTTCAGTGAAAGGCAATTGCGGTACACACAGACAAAAAAATTCAATAACGCGTCCCGCGAAAAATTCAAATAAAATGTTCAATAATGATTCACAATGTGTACAATACACGGTACTACCGATATGTTCTACGCTATTTAATCGGTCTATTTTATCGCGATGAGAAATTCCGGTCTTTTTATCCGTTGAAAAAAGTAATTTTTCTTTGAATTATATAATTTGTTTATCTCAGTTCGGTTGCTGTTTATCCCCAACAGACTAAACATTGTTTCGAGGACTCGAAAAGCGAAAAATCGTATATAAAAGCTAGTGAAAATTGAAAAAATAAGGCAAAACTTAGCAGTAATATTGGGTAGATACGCTAAGGTGTCATCCTTCAATGGTTTGTTTACAATAGAAACATGCCTTCTTTAGCTGGCCGAATGTTTTTAGTAATCACTTTCACAGAACTTTGTCTTTGTCCAACCATTCGAGAGGATGTGTTCTTAAACCGCTTTAGGTCTAACCTCGAAGTATTTACACTGCGATTATCTCTTCTAAGTTGTTTTTTTGCCAATACATATATCGATCAGAACTTGTCAGTCTAGGAACGCCCCACATGCGATAAGTTTCGTATAAACAACGTACTCAGATGTCAAAATGTAAACTTTTAAGCGTAATACGTATTAGCTAATAGCTTATACGAACGGCAGGAAAAACAATCTCTCGGCCGACTGCTGTTTACGAAACAGGTGGTGTTATTTACGTGGTTTTTTTTCCTTATCAAGGGTTACTTACTAGCAGGACTTATTTACGTACCTACTTACAGTATTTACATACTTACTAGCAGTTAATCATGATATAGACATGTCGATGCTTGCAACATGTATGAAATAGCCACTTCAATATACAGAAATCTAGAAATTTTCTTGTTACTGAACACTGCGGACAGGCCGAACAGCCCGAGTTAAGTTAGACATATTATAGGTTGACAAAAGGACACTCAGACTGGTCGATCGCAGCGCGTTATCCTACTGTTATTCGTATAACTCGTACGTACTATAATATAAGAAAGTTGACGCCACTGTTCTATTCAATTTTGCAGACATCCATTACTGGAGTACCAGAACTGACTGGCTCAATTATCCTACCGACCTTTTTTTTTATGTTTCCACCAACTTCTTATATTAGAGATCAACCGAAGATATCGTTTTATATGACCAGTCGCGATGTCATATTTTTGCGTTTGTATACTGGATGCTATCGGCGCCGTATAGCGTCCCCATAGAACGATGGTCGTCTTTAATCGATAAGCTGCTCATTTTACAGGAAATCATTGGGTTGAGCGTCAAGCAACCTATTGTCAGTAGAGATAACTTAATTGTATGAAATAATCCTTATCGAATTGTTGACTACGGGCCGGTCTCGGGTCGTTGTATCTGCAGTTGAAATGCAGTATCTAAGCTAAGGGCCTGACAAAAGCACCGAATCCCCCTGCATCGACTAAGTCAGTGAGTTGTTGTCTAGGCCAATAGCGATCACTTCGACGTCGTAGCGATGTACTCTGTACCTAGGTAGGCTTCTGTCAATTTATAGTATCTAGATAGATATTTGGATTCAATCAAAGGGGTCATGGATTCATGCTATTCGAAAGCATTTTCTGAAAACCGCTCGACGCGGCAAACAAACACCAGTATAGTTTATTGGAAAACTAAAAGGTCAAACACGAGAGGTTAACGTGCAGTTCCATTAAAGGGTCTTCTTTCTCGGCTTTTTCGGTGTTAGATATAGAAGGAAGGTGTAACAATAACCCCCCTCTAGCGGTACAGTTTACGATTAGGTAAAAGCTAGGATTGGGAAGAGGTAGCAGGACTTTACAGGAATCGAAACGAAAAACACAAGGCGCAATTAGCGTAAGATAATAAAGAAGAACATGAGCGCAACTTCAATAGGAACACTTAACAGGGATTTGATATTTATTTCGTAAACATTCCTTAAATAACATGCTTAAGCTAACGTGGTCATCAAATAATTCTAACAAATTGTCAAGCCACTTGCCAAAGGCGGGTTTTACCTGTTCAGCCGTAACGAATAAGGTAGCCTTCATAATTTGACCATTAAAGGATGTAACTGAGGAAGCCTAGTGCTGTTAAGATGAACAACCGGATCTTTCAAGCCATATCAGATTGAAACAAACGAGTTACAACGTGACATTTTCTCACGAGGCTGTTAAATGGTTTTAGTTAAATTCTTATTACTGCAAATCATGTTACAGGTTTTTTTTTTTTATAAGCAACTGACCCTTAGCACCATAGGCCACAGTCCTATACGACCTTACGACATATAAGCTATCTTCGTCTAGTTTTCCTGCGAAATGCACAACTATTAGACTACACATTCCGCTGAGGACTTTTAATATAGTAGTGAGACCAGGACGAACGCCTGCATAATCTCTGGGTATACATATCTTTACGTGCCTACCAAGCAACGATGTTTAATCGCAGAACATCTATTGAACCCATTTGTATTACAGCTTTGAAACTTTGCCAACGAAAAGGAAAAGTCCTGTACGGGAGTCTCTGATAATGAACAGGAATGGCGAGGTGGCATGAAACTTGACGACCCTGGAACGCGTAGCATGGGCCGCGGCTGTCGATGCAGCTGCTAGGGTTCCTTGCTCGTTTACCTGTGGAAAAAAAGGCAAAATTATCGGTCGATGGTCGTTGGTATATTAATGGTTGTTTAGGACCTTAAGGACGCTGGTTGTTTCGTAGGCTTTCTTTACGAATAAGGAGCGTCATCGATAAGCACGAGGCGAGTATATGGCGAGATAATGAGGCGACTTGCCCTCGATGCGGGACAAGGCACAAACGAAAAGCCAGAGGTGGGCTATGTAAGGCAATTCAAAAGTCATATTTTTGTTCTATAGGGCCATTGTTGCGTTAGTGTAAGTGCGTAAGGCAACGGTCTAGTTCGTTTGGATATGTCCCAAGATCTGTGCGACACTTTTAGGCAATTTTTGTCTAATTTTTTTCGAGTGACCAGTTAAGAAGATCTTTGTTGTTCCGTTTGGCAGCTACACTGTGAGGTCAGGTAGCGCTAAATTCCCTCAAGAATACACTCTACTACACTGAGTATGTTACGCCTATTAACAAGCGAGCGTATTATCATAGGCGATGGAGTTTTTACCCATAACTGTACTGCTTTTAGTAAAGAGCAATTCTTCAGATCGAGCAGATGGCTTCCAAAACCAAATCTCTCATGCAGAGTCACCCACCTCAATAACAGCCTGATGTACGAATTCATTAATGTGTAGACTATCATCTGCGGTGAAGTATGGCAACTCCGCAATGCCTTGATTAAACCCAGAGCGCATTCCCAGCTTTTGTAGGTATTCCTTTAGATTAAGTCGTGAGCTTATCTGTGGATGCAAGAACAAATTTATCTTGACAACGACTGATATCAACTACGATTGCTGTATCAAGTACTCGTATCCAGCATGCAAGGATACCGTTAGACAACACGATGCGATTCGAGTCCGTTGTAGATAACGTCATACTTTTTTTTTTATAATATAATAAGGATATTTCTGTTGACTAGTAGATAACCAATTTGAGTAGTTATGTATCAGAATAAATTGTGAACTTTTTAGTATATAGGGCTACAATATATAGAAACGACAGATACTGTATAATCAGTACAACCTTAAATAGAGGCAGTATGACCTCGACCAGAGCGGGCTCCATCTCCAACACGATCTGTCGCACATCGTCCGTCTATATGTCGAAAAATTAATGATTTATTTTTATTGCGTGTTACTACCATTTCACTTTGAATCATTGAAAGTTTGGGTCAAAACCACTGCCGATTTATCAAGAAGTTTAGAAAAAAAAGAACTCTTTCATATTACGCCAGAGACAAAACAGGATACAGCTTTCCTAACACATTGTATACTCCTAGAACGACATTTACGCACAATACGTATAGAAATTATAATATTATCAGCAATGATATCTGTATTGAAAAATGGCAATTCCTACAAAACAAAATTAAAATGATGACTATTGTTAACTTGTATTGCCGACTGAGGGTTTGGTTAAGCATTCCGATATTTAGCCATGTTTTGAGGTAACGAACTTCGAAGACAGCACATTCAAGAATAACACACTTGTAGATTGGCTGCTAGCCGAAAAGGTTTGAAAAATACAATATTTTTTCTTTTAAATCTACGTATGTATACAAAGCAACAACTTTTCTAAGTATACTTCATGCATCGAGTCAAGTCCAAAACAATTATAGCTAACGTAGGCCCCTAGTACTGTAAAAATATCAAATGATAGACGCCTAGATCTTCACCGGTATTTAAAACTAAATTGGGCTGAGAGAGAAATTTTAATTAAATAATAATTTAAAATAACAATAAACACTGTTCACAGGTAGGCCGAGTGTTGCCGAGGCCGACTGCCGAGGTTGCATATGCCTCATGATGGACCTTCAATCGCGTCCTATTTATAACTGTTACTAAAAATCGCAAGGAATCGGTCGTCAATTAGTGATTTTAGAGTACCTACTCGGTTAAATTGAGCTATCTATTTTTCCTTTGAACTGAAACGAAGGTCTTTTGCTGAAGTAAGCTAGCTTCTAACAAAAATTGTTTCTATATCAGATAGGCCCGATCAACTGAAAAAGCTGATCATTTTTCGTTGCCAGAACCGTTAGACACTCGGCATAATAAACATCAAGGCACACACGGATGTAATCAGGGGATTAGGCACGAGGGACAGGTAATAAACAGGCATGTAAATTGCACTGTTTTGAAGGTGTTAGGGTATATAGAGCTGGCTTGGATGCTTTAATTAAGGTACCAGTTATATATATATATATATATGTATAGGTATCTTTTTTTAGCTAGATAGCAAGATGCCACTGTGATCTGATTCAGCTTACATTGATATTATCCAAGATGCTACCCATTCGGGATGGGTCATCTGGCAGCAAAATGGTCATTCTCATTTGGTAACCGGTGTACGGCACGTCCAGGGCGGAAAGCTTCAGTCTGTAATCCCACAACAGGTCAGTGATGCACGAAAAACGTTGGCTGAGCAACTTGGCAACGCCATTTATCCCTCACGTTGCTACTGTTAATGGAAATATACGAAAATGGAAGCGTAGCCACGTATGTACCAGTACTTCGGATATTATTGTATATACCACTGACATTGCCTATTAATGATCATCCATAAACAGCACACATTTTACAGTATTTTGAGGTATGTCTTATTAGGAAGGAAAATGGAATGGATTGGTATTATTCTTTGTGAAGAAATGCTACTCCTAGACCTAACATGTACGTGATTTTTGGACCCTGAACACGTTCTCAATCTGTTTGTGTGCCTCAATAAATCGATTGGGTGGTTACCAGCCTGCTTAGCTCAGTTTTTTGCTTCAAAGAAGACTGGTCAGAACTCAATATGCCGGCTCGTTGCGAGTAGGCTGAATAATGTGCTAGCAGTTGATTTTTGTGTTTTTTTAATCTCTAGATGGAATTTATTCGAATAGCATCAGTCTTCATTGGTTTTCTGGTTCCTAATCATAAGAAGCCAGGGGGTCCAGGATGTCAATGGGGGGTCGTCGGTGTACTTCGGTATACTTCGGATAGTAGGCATATTGGTAGTAGTCAAGCATCGTCATGAAGTCGACTTCCTTTGCATAAGCCTTCTGGCCTTCGTTGAGGAAGATGCCCTTTATTGTGTTTTTCGGATCAAACTGCTTGGCCCACACGCCTGAAAACACGAAGTAGCGGAATCCAGCCCAAACAAATAGAAATCAGGTTGCGTTGTCTACAAAAAAAAGTATCTACAAAAATAAAATCACTAAGCTCTTTTTGTTAGATGACCTTTTTTAACCCTTGATTACTATTCTTCATCGGGGAGTCATTGTTCCTTATTATCTATGCGTTATAGGAACACAGAGAAATTCTGATAATTGATGTAACACAAGGAAGGATTAATAGAAAAAAAAACATGTGTTTATTTTGTTTGTATATGCAATTCGCATTAAAAGAGAGAATAAAGTTAGGAAACATGTTCCTGACAATCGTGAACCGACAAAGTGGTTTTATGCGCAAGTGTCGGGTGCTTGAACACATGATAGCATAAGTCTAACATGATCTCAATAATTAATAACAGCATCTAAAAAACAAAGGCACCTCATTCACATTGAGGACACGAATATCTAACACTACAAAGCAAAGATGTCGATCTCAGCCAGTACACACTCCTTTTGCTTACCCTTAAAGAAGATAACGTTTGCCAAAATCATGATCGTGTTCGGAAGTACTTCGTGGTCACCAAAGGCATTTTTAATATGACCTTTTGTCTTTAGCGTAACTAGCGTGTCGAGAACTTTCAGAGTTGCCGATCGCTGAAAGTTTACCTAAAGGAAATACTTACATTAAAATTGTAACTGTATGGCGCCGGCTTCATTAAGTGTATATATATTGAACCGGACAATTTTTTTACTATTTTTTGTTCAAAGTATGTAAAAACAATGTATGTTTATCCCAAGACACATTAGTAATCTAGGCAATTTATTTGTATTATAATGAAAATCACATACAGATTCTCTTATAAGTACCTCTTGTACAGAAACTCCATAATAGTTCTCCAATTTTCCCTTGATTTCAGGCAAAATTTTGATTTTGCTGTCAATCAGCATTGTGTTAACGTCAATCAGCTCGTTCGTTCCAGTTTCCTCATTGACCAGACTCCGGGCTGATTTGAATCCGTCAAGGAGGAACTGCTTTAGGTCCTTTGAGTGCTCGTAACCTGCAGATGAATTAGTTAAACACCTATTATTCTATTACTGATAAAACTGCTGGACATTACGCAATTTACAGGACATGCGTAAAGCATCATAAAATCGTTTTAAATTTGATTCTGTGTATAAGATGGATCCCAAGCAGTTCTTCTTTGATTAGTGGAGACCAAAAATTTCCGCTTTGTCCCTTTTGCATGGGATATGAAAAACGCTGAAGTTTTCGAACTCACCGAGCACTTTTGCCATTTCTTCCGCCGTGCGTCCAGCAGACCCCTGGTACGCCATCGAAAGAACGGTCGATATAGCGAATGGTGCAAAAAAAACGTTGTCATGATCGGCAACCCGCTTAAATAGCTCAAGTGCCAAGCCATTGCTCGAGTTCGCCACCCGGATGGCCTTACTGTATATGGAAAATTCCAACATTAGATACGTATCAGGCGAAACGAACCAAGTACCTATCGCTCATTGATATACAGTTATCCCTAATAAATTCAGTCATTAGGTAACCTTTCGCTTCAAGAGAGCAGCACATATGATATAATCTAACTACGTGTAACCCCCATCAAAATAATCTAGGAATGCAATTTGCGTAATAAGTATATATATATATATATACATGTTATTAATCGTTTTATCTATTATACATAATCTGGTTTTCCCTAACAATAAGCAAACATATGCAATATTACTATAGGATTGTAGTGGCCAAGCCTATTCAAGGTAACGCAATTTGCGCGTCGTAAGTTCAAAAATTTCAATTACTAAGTTGCCGGGGTGCGTAAAGTTGAAAGGCTACGCTTTATTTCCAGCTTCATATGATCGTCATTATAAATCTCCGATAAATATAAAGACTAGAATGGAATTTTTTTCTATTAGACTAGAAAATATCATACCCATAAAACTATACTTATGAGAACTAATCTAATTTATTAAAGAAAACGTTAATATTAGCAGTTAATAGTGCTGACTCACCCAATTGTGCCTAGCACGAATGCATATTCTGGCACCTTTGTTGTTGTTGTTGACGGCGGCAGTTCCTGATTATTGTTATTGGTACTATACAAATTAGCCTGGATCGTACCTTGACTACGGTTGTCCCTGTTGTATCTCTGATTGCCGTGAATGTTACCTATTCTCGGATGGGAAGATCCTGGCGATCCAGCTGCAGCACAAAGACCAATGAAACAGCATACCAGGAGAGCGCCACTCATCCTGGCTGCTATAGACGAAAAAAGGATATTCCCACAGGTTTGTTGTCCTTTACGACACACTGCCGTTGTATATGACGATGAGCAATATCCGGTCTGCTACGCTCACGAGTACCTATTCCTCTCTTCTGTGACCTGTAATCAAAGTCGACACAATGTAGAGACGTGGTGTGCATAATACACTGCTTGACGCCAGTTAGTCACTAGCGAATCAGTCACACTTACCAGTCAAACTGATCTTCTGCTGCCGTAAACGCTATTACTGTCGATTCATCATTCAAAAGGCATATATACACACACGGCAATACAGTCACAACTCTGTCCAGCGACAGAACTAACCTTAAACATCGTCCGCGACACCGCCGCGATGAAGATAAACCGAAGAAAGTGCTACTTAGAACAGTGTTTTTCAAAATACTCTGTGCCAAAACATGGTCTTTTTTCAGCCATTGACACCCCGCTGTCCATCATTATTGCCGCCCCAATTACGCTAGCGCACGTCTTACCTTCCGTTTCAGATGTTGTCTGGCAACTTGCACAGCACCTTTTCGCCTGTTACCAACAACAGCAGTAAACTGCAATAGGTGCAGTATCGAAAGTCTTAGGGAAATCCGCAGCCGATTTTGATAGCATCAATGCCACCACGTACCACCAAATCACACAGAAACTGGCGCTTACAGCTACCACGCAACAGCAGCACCCGCAACAAACTGAGTAATCTTACGACGCTCACTCGCCCGCTCGCAGTAGCGTCAGCTAAATATATCATCGGCTTTTCATACCATTTTCTTTGTTTCTCTTTTTTTGTTTTTTTTTTTTATCAGGATAGCGCCACCTCGCCGCTATGGCGCAATACGGACCCTTACCCAGATGGTGCTGCTGCTGCTGCACCATCTTCCCTGTCGATGGCCGACCACCCTCGTGTCAATAAATCATATATCCTTATGCTTCTTGTCATAGTCCAGCTTAATGCTTTCACCGCAATTACTATTGCTGTTACAGTTGTTTCTCCTGGAGCTCGCAGTCAATAGGCGCCGATGGCCAACAAATGCACGTAAACGTACACATACTTTGTGGCTCAAGATGGCTACGAAAAGACAGGCGCGGTATTTCGACGAAACTGAACTGTCTATGAGACAGGACATAATATAATGTGAGATCGCATAATTGTTCGCGCGGGGCCCCATATGACAAAATTTACACGGGTAGTATAGTATGTGTATAGGACCCCATGTACGAATTATGCAAGGGACGTAAAACGATAAACGGGTATAGAGGAAGCTCTTACCCTTAGCAGAAAACGTATTATGAAAAGAAAATAATTATAAGAAAACGTAACTCCCTAATAAATACGATATGACCATATCCAATGATTATTGAACGATAAAAAGATCATGTGTACATGGAAAGATCAGTTTTTTAACTAGCTTCAAATTCGTACGCTGATGAATAAGACAGGAATTCTAGTTCCATGGTACGAACATCCACGGGTTTGAAAAATTGACGCGAGTTTTACTTAGGCTGAAAGAAAATACTTCGAAATCTTGGGCTCAGTGCCAGGTGGTTGAGAAGCTCTTACTGTTCCCATCCGAGGTCTAGGTAAACGACGCGAGCTTCAACATCTGAAAACGTTCGAGTGAGGTGAGGCTTTACTCAATGTTGATGAACTATTATTTAGCAAAGGTACCTTTGGGTAGCCCGAATCTTATCCCGCTAATTGTTGAATAGAACCAATTCTAACCTACCTAAATCTACGATGGATTTCCTATTTTGCCAATGTGACTATTGTCTACAAATAAAGCGTGCTTGTTTTATAAGAACGTAAAACATAAGTCATAAAAATGACTACAATTGACGTGTGAAAGGCTCACACCTCGGGCGGGCCCTCATACCTAAATCCAGTATGATCTGTTTGCCCTTATACTACATAAAAATCTTCTATCTATTATATTTATTAGCGAATGCCTAACGAAAATCTGTGCAGATTTACATACGTCAGTGATTAACTATGAGGACATCTACATTAAAAAGCCGCAAACGATTCCTGTTCACGAAGATCACCTATCATCTTATAAGAAGTTCGCTCAAAAAAAGCACCGCCCTATCTGCGGAGTTCATCTGTCGCACTCGGATCGACCGAGAACAGCATATGTGTTTAGGAAAGCCGCTAAATAAACGGAAAGTCTATGATAGGACACTTTTTACTGAAATTAATGTAGCGCTTTCACCATTTGGACAGTGGAGGTACGGTAACTTGTCAGGCTGTCCTCTGCGAACGAAAATCTGATGGGAGCAAAAAAAAAACACAACAAAGATAGAGAGGAACCTGAATTACTTCTTCTACTACGAAAGATACGGTAACGACGACTATTTTGAAGAAAAAGTGCCAGTTCTCTAAAACAACTGCAATTATTCATTAAGATATCGAAAACGACCAAGCATAAGTTGCAGCAAGTTGCGCAACTATGCAGACTCTCAAACTTACAATGGCCGTAGAAGCCAATCGATATAATATATTAGATTTGGCCTATTTAGCTATAACCTTTACAGCTATAACGGTCTATTAGAAGATTTTCGTTACTTCAATGTAAGTGTATACTGGATTTTTCACTGATAGGCTCCTCTTTATAACCGTCCTGAAATCGAACGAGTGACGAAAGACACCACAGAATCATCGATGCTTCTCGATAACAATAAAACGATATACTTACATAATCTGAACATATCAAGAATACAGTAATAGCAACAACTTAAGATGCTAACTAATGAAAATATAGACGCATTTTATAATTTGAGAAAAAAAAAATATCTACCTAAGGTCGATACCTGTGACCAGATAGGTCGATGAATATTAACTGCTCGGTCCTACAACCAAATTGCGTTGCTCAGTTTGAACATACGTTTAAAAATAGCTATGATGTTTAAGAATTGTTAATTTCTAATTGCTTTTGCAAACAGTCACCTAGTTATTTATTTACCTAGTTATTATATTATATAAACTAATTAGGTGGAAAAAGACCGAGCAGAACTTACTTTGAATTAGTCAGAGAGGCTGTTCTAACAAGGGCTCGTGCACACTTTGACGATAAACCTTACGAAAAATATAGAGACGCCGTTTCAGGCATAAAGCTAACTAAGTCTTCGTGAAGACAATCTATCCGCTTTTTGGGAAAGCCTTCTCGTACCTATATGCTCCATCTAGGTGTTATCTAGACTCGGACTAGCCTTCCAAGTGGCGGAGAATTGCGGTCTCACATCTTTGCTTCACATAAACACATCTCACGCTTGACATGTCTGCGTTGATGTTAGCGCACCTGCATGATATGAAACATTACACGAATACAAATCTTAGATACTCACTCACTCACTCACTTTATTGCTTTCCTCCTTGATCCACAAAGCCCATGGACTGGAAGACTACAGTCTCCATCGACGGCTGACTGAGATGAATGTTTATGAAAAAAAAAAAAGACACAATTTAAACCAGTCGGTGCGTACGTAAAAAATCGTCGTTTGTTGTCACGCACAAGCAACGATACAGTAACGCATCGTTTCGTACGGGAGGCAAATGTGGCTAAAAGAAAAATACTGGCTACCGCATTATCCCGAACCGATTGCCCCCCCTTACCCAGACGGGTTCTTCGCTAAAGAAAACCGCCAGTTAAAACCACACCGTTGTTATTCTGTTAAAAAATACTTTTCGCTTTCCCACAGCTGCCGCGGCCAGACGTATGTCGGTTGTTGACGTTGGTGAACGGGTGGACGGCGGCCGCCAAGCCCATGCTGCAAGCAAGGAGAAGACGCTGACAAAATGATAATAGCAAACTGCTGTGATGAATAGATAGTGTGTACAGATAGGACGGGGTGAGAGGTGATCAGCGGACGAGGCCGTTCGTGGTAGTTACAGCTGCCTGGAAGAATCACCTGTTTAGTTAAATAGCATAATTAAAAAAAAAAAAAGAAAAGAACAACAACAAAGCTATTAACCTGAGTTAGTTTCTGGAAGCTTGCTTTTTCGCCATTGTACGCACTCGTCCTCTAATTGTTCGATTAAAAACGCCACCAATTAGGCTAGTCCAAAGTAATCTTGAAGAGCTAAATCCATTGAATGTACCTCCACTTAATGAAATAGAGGTTTCGCGATGTACACGGCGCCGACGCGTTCGTTCTTAAAGATAAACTCGTGAAAATCTATTGGATTTATTTCGGCGTATTTTTTGATCAGATAGAAGAAACGTGTACGGTCATCTCGTTGGCCGGCTGAATGCAACGTACGTATATCTGTTCCTTGTGATTAGGATGTGGCGCCGCCAGTGGATCAGTTAGTTCATTTTTCAATGTTAGCTTTCTCCTTCCTCTTGTTATTGGTTACATTTTTTTTGTCTATCCAAATGGCGTGGCATAGATTCAACTGACGCAATCCCTCCTGTAGGAATGGTCATATCTCAGACTTTGGCGGGAGGTTCACGCAACCCCGATGTGTAGGTCATCATATAGAAAGGTCAAACACGAAGGCAGAAGACTACCTGATGTCAGTGTTTGATCACAGTAGAACTGGACAATAAGCTTTGTTTAAGGACAGAGAGAAGGGTACGCCTTTACCAACGACATCATATTACCTAGTGACTATAGTAGAAGCTGTACTTTGACCTGCGAAAAAGCCGGAAAGTGTCAATTGTTTTGCACTTACCCCTCATCCATCGTGGGGCTGATTTTCATTTGAGCGATTTTAGCTCCCGTACTGTTTAATACTATGCTTACCTAGTAACTGGAAGTTACTAGGTAAGCATACCTAGTTTGGTTTATTTGTTATGTATTTGAATAGAAGCGAAACTGCATACGTTGGCAATTTTGGCACTATGGGTGGGAGGCAAAACGGCATTGATCCTGATCCAAAGAAACATATGAAGAAGACCAGAAAATGACTGCTGGTAAACTAATTACCATTGCAGCATTTGTGTCAACCCACTTGTCAGCTACTCTGCTAATACATATATATTTTCCTTTAATACACCATGTAAATTAGTCTCAAATGAATGCGTTCAAGGTAACGGAATAAGTTTCAAATGATGAAAAACTATAAAAAAAACATTAAATAGAATGGATTGAAGTTAGCTAAATAAGATAACAGAACTAAAGATCTCCGCTATTCGTAAAACCTGGTTTCTTTTCCGATGCTACTTCTCACCCAGATGTTTCGAGTTGTACGTCCGGCTCTCTCCCGGTCACCTATACCGTAGCGTGTTCCTAAGATTAACAAGCACGTCGGTTATCCGCTATAGCTGTTCTAACCGGATTGTTTGCCGTGTGCTATAACGCCGACAGACGCCAATAGTAGTAACAAAGATTCCGGTTGCCCCACGTCTTTGGCTTCACCACGGAAGTTTTACCACCGTACATTCAAAGCAATATACCAATGGCTGAGAATAGACTTTCGCCTGGGGTGACATCGTAGAATGTTTACGTCAGCAAATATATTCATTGAGGGTTGGCCACAAAGTATTTCCACATATCTTATATACCATGTGGAATATTCAAGTTCCAGCTTAAGTTGTTCCTATTCGTCACTTAACTACGCATCAAACAACAACAAGCATGTTGAACCCCTACAGTGATTTGCCCAAAAAAATATATTTAGTCGATTATTATCTAAAGCATCTTCTAAATATTTGTTCGATCCTTTTGATATTATGTTGATTCTCGGTTCTGCGAAGGGCTTATCCTGATATAAGGGACGCGCGAATTCATTGGATGCCTCACCATGTGATACTTCACTGTTGACTGTTTTGGCACGGTGCGCACGTTCATGCATTAACAAGCTCCGTTGTTCATTCATATAAACGAACTCTATGCGAGACCAAGTTTTGACTTACGATCGCAATGACGTTATTACTTCCAGGTTTTAAATAAAATCTCGATGATCAAATCTATCCGACTATCTTTTACCAGATAGAAACGTAGCCAGTACTGGCGTTACGACGTATGCCACATGAGTAGAACTATTTCCTGGATACTTCAGCCTGCGAAGTATACAGGAGACTGTGATCAGTCTCGTACAAAATAGTTGACCATACTTCACGAACGATTGCTGGGTATCCTCCGTTTGTCATAAGAAATAATTTTATACAATTCTTAAAGACTATAACAGCAATGTTAGGTAGTTAATAGAGTCGCTACTATATTATTTCCAAACTAATAACATTTATTTTAGTTCTGCCAATAAAAAGGCATCTGTGCAAGGAACAGAGCGAAGCCCTTTGTCGCAGTCGAGGTCAGTTATTAATCTTTTAGGTCGCCAAATAGCCTAGTGCTCTTATAGTGCTGCCGACATTCTGCATTTGGCAAGATGGCTGCAGTCTTGATTGAATTGTCTGAGATTAAATTCCAACCATTGAGAACCACCATAAGAATAAATACCAACCATTTTGCGCGGTAGCTCCTACCTTTGTGGCAGACAGCCTAATCTATCTCAAGGTCTATTTTAGAGACAAGCATGACACTGTCAAACTGATTGGTGCGGTAAGTGCATACAATGGTTCAAGGGTGATTAATTATAGGAATCGCACAGGCCAAAAGATCTGCCCTTTTTAGCAAACGAAGTGTGATTCACGGAAACGAATGTCAGACGATAAGATCGAGATTGTACTAACAATAGGTGGAGAGCTGTATCATATAGAGTGTCAATTTGACGTCTATGCGCTTCGCTGGTGCTTACTTAATTTGGCCTAAAAATTGATTGATTAAAGAAGCTTCGTAGCTCTTTTTTGTTGCTGTTGTTGGTACCTTCGTCATTCGCTAGTTTCCTTTCAAATAAGCTTGGTTCTAACGTACAAGCCTTAAAGCCATGTCGATTTGAAGTGACTGAAACTATTCAAAGATCACTTTTTTTTAGCGGTTTTGTACCAGAATTAGGGATAAAATGCTTTTTCTAAGAGCCCCGCTGTATTCCTGCGTATATCTTACTTATAAAATCCCGTCTACACGGTATTCTATATGGAAAACAAATCGCCCATTATTGTTGAGTAATTTTCCTTTTTATTGGAAAGCATGACTAAGACCTTTTCGTTATCTCAATAGGACGGCGTTGTCTGGGTGGCAAGTGCATAGAATATCTTTCAAGGCGTTACCGTAGTAGGCATAACCAACAAACATGCCATCACGGTGGTACAGATCTCAGCAGCCGCAAAAATGTTTATTGGGTAGCAAATAAGGAATTTAGAAAAATAAAGTGTCATTATTAAGCCTAATAATCGTTTGTGTGGTTGCCATGCCGCTATGAAATTACGTTGGAAGCCCGTGTTAGCTCAGTGGGTAACGTGTTTTGGATCCGTTATGGTCTAGGTTCGAACCCGGGCGTACACAGACTTTGTTTCATGCTTTCCTAATAGAATGCCAAACGGCGATATCCGACGTAACACGAAGAAGTTATAAGTGTGTTAAAGGGGCCTTAGTTATATAGTTGCGGCCAGGTCCTTGGTGCACTATCTAAAATGGCGATTCCGAACACTTGTTGACATAGAGAAAAAAACAAATTGTAATTAAGAAGGAAAACTTAAGTACTTAAATAAGGGTTTTTCTCCGGCGCGGGCTGATTGGGCTTTATCGGTTTGTGCGCTCCGCACTACCGCGGTAATAATCTAGAGATGTATTCTCATACTACTTCGTTTTTCGCTACCCAAGGGGCAAAATGGCCATCGTTTTATAATTTACATCTCTCAAGGCTTTCTCATTATCGATGTGCAGCAAAGTATGTCTCTCACTACGAATTAATCTCTGAGCTACCCGAAAAACCGCTCGAAGGCCTAAATGGCCGCTCATTCAGTCAATCTAAAAGCTACCCTTAACGACGGCGTACTCAGATTTGATTTTCTCCCTAATCTAATCGTTGACAAGCTTTACCCATCTCGTACGTCCTCCATGAGTAGAGAATACGAGTGAAGACTCGAACACTTTAATTGGTCTAGTGGCTTCTTAATTCGATTACATCTACTCCCAGATTCACTGAACAGGAGGTTCTATCCTCGATCCTCTTCATCGAGGAGGTATAGGTGGTGGATAAACACTGCATGTTCAGAATGCGTTCTCTCTAACGGTCTACTAATGGATGTGCGGGTTTGCAACGCGAAGAGACAATGGCACATTTTACCATAATGTATGGTTGAACTTGTTCTTCCTAAAAAGGCGAACTAATAAGCAGAAACAGATTAGTACTTATCCACGTCTTAAGTGGTGGATCTTTAAGTTCGAATACGGAAAACATCGGTTAAGGATGATCCAGTAACGAGACGTATTTTACCGCATTTCATATGACGATTATTCAGAACAGCTTCCGTCGCTTCCCTGTTTTGCTCACAACCCTTAAGGAAAAAAACCAATGCTATTATAACAAATGTATAACATAACTTAAACAGGATATATAGCTAAATGAGGCCAGTCACAACTAAGGTACTGCCATCGGACCTCTGAAACCATGCAAAACTTTTATTAATGACACAGAAAATCAATCCATATCTAACGTGACGGCCATTCAGTACTATATTCATCAATCAGTAATTTACCTACTAATTTACATTCAACTACAATTCTTGGCCTGTTGAAGGTCGATTAAGCGGTACTTTTTTTTTTTTTTTTTTATCAGTACAATTCGCTCTGAAGCCCTCGCTGTCGAGGCGAGTTTGAGTATATATTTTGGCAGTGACATGCGTTAGATTTGTTATTGCTACGTCTAAGCTTATATATAACAAACATACAAAATAATCGTTTGTCAAATGTCTGAAAAAGAAGTTGTTGTTTTAAGTTATGCCAATATCATATACTAGACGAGCGATGTGATAGTACAAAGCTTTCTCACGTGGACATATTGAGGTTTTGCCGAAACATTGTCTATTCAGCGCAAATATCTGTTAAGCCCAAGAGGAGTTAATTACCTCGTTATCTAAATCGATGTGTGTTATGCTTTGTCTTCATGTTGTCCATTGTAGTTACATTATCTAATTTACTTTCAAGAAGATATCTAGAAGTTACCTAGATAGACATACATATCATATGCGTACACGTATTCACCATAAGTCTGTCACGAATGCTCGAAGAAGATATGAACTTTCCACCCGTGTTTTTACCTGACCGCCGTTTAATGGCCGTTTAAGGAATTAAATTTATAAAGTTTTCCTCATTTCACATAATCTCTCGGCGCTGGCCGAACTCTATACACGTTAGAAGACATTTTTTTTGAGCCTGAAACCGATACCCTAGTTTTTCAAATTTTCAATGTGGCTCCTAAAAATCCGAGAAGGATTTCCGTTAAGTAAATCAGAACACCTCAATGGGACTCGAAAGGCTCAAAAGGCCATTTTTAATACACTTGTATGCATAAAAAGATGTTCTGAAGAGAAAGATATGAACTGTAAATTGGGCTGCTGTCCAGACAAGCTCGAACGGTTTTATTGAAACCTCTTCCTGTTGTTTTAGACCTTTTGGACCTTCTGTTATAGGTGTTTTGCGACCTGCTATTAAACCTCAGCTGAAGTTTTTTGCGTGCAGCATGATTAGCGACATTTCACTAGGCTGATCATTTCGAATATCCTTCCACGATGGGTTTTATTAAACAGTAACTTGTGCATTAGAGAAAAGCGATCTTGGAAGTACTTCCGAGAGATTTAGAACTTAAACTGTAAAACTGAGGCTGTGATCGTAGTGAATGGTTGTTATATCGAATAAGGTTCACATGTAGAAAAATGTATTGAAAAGTGCTATAGCTTATGCATAAACGAATGGTTGTTTAACCTCATGGGTTCTAACCCCGCCCAATTCGAATAAACGGAAATGTTTAATGTATCATTAAATAATAAAAGTCGATAGAAATTAAGCGTCGGTAAAATGGAGTATAGTACACAAATACACAGTATTCCTTGGAATTATGTTTAGTTCAAGATGGCAGCCCATTCTCACAGACCACTGGGTGCTTGTATTTGTGGGACTTGAAACGATCGTCGAAGAGACCTAAACAATCACCGGCTTGGCGATTCGTGTTTCCTTGAAGTGATACTATATATATATATATATAATGCAAGAGTAAAATATTTACGAAGGCTATTTGTTTTTCATTCAGAAGGAAAATTCCTGTCGAGACTTCGAAATTGTGATATCCGTTAAGTCCAGGGTAAGGCCAAATATTTGTATATCGTTTATTAAGCACTTACTACACGATAACTGATTTCGTAATCAGATAAATCATGCAACTTCGTAACAGCTGAAGTAGTCGTTGTACTTACGGAAAGCTTTCAAATGCACCCAGCATGCAGTATGTTAATTCTGTTTTATCCGCGGTTACAGACTTAATTTGTTGACACTGCATGTATCAGCACTGAAACTTGTTACATCCAGCAGCCTACAATTACAGAAAAAGTGATAAAGTCTCTATGATGGAAGACAAATAACTTCTATTTCTACGGAACATCACCTAAACATATGACTAAACACCACAATGCGTCTTTCGCGGCATCGAATAGCGTCCGTTCTGAGTATCTTCACTTTTGATATCTTCCTTTCATGATTGTATTCCTCTTTGAAAGAAATAATTTAAGTAACGTTTATCTAACTTCTTTACCGGACTAATACCTTTTCACTTCTCTAGTGTCAACCTACGTTGGCCTTACCGATTACAGCGCCGAGAAGCATTAAGCCCGTTCAAGACACCTTGTCCCTGTCTTGTATGCTTGCTACTCCTGGTATTTTGCAGGACTCGCTATGGACGACTATTGTTTATCATGATACTATATAAACAACTTCGCGCATATATAATAGAAACAAGTTGAACTCATGTTTTAGTAATCTACCATTTATTTATCATTGTATGTCGTTAAATTATGCCATCGAATACATTATCTTCCTTCAAAGTAGGAAAAATATAGTTGCGTCTTGTGTTTGGTTCATCGTTTTGCCGTTGAATCAGTTTACCGCCGCGATCAATCTTACGTTGAGCAGATATATAGTGCGCTATACAAAAATACTACAAACTGAACAATTATCTCACCGCTCTATATCTTCATTAACATAATTCTGCTCATCGGTCGATCGCGGAAAAATTAGCGAGTATTTTTCTAAAGGATTCTGTGAGGACCGAGACATTTTGAGGAGGCAGAAGGATACGAAAATTCGGTGCTCAGTTGTCGTTGCTAGAATTGACGGAGTTATCGTTAGGTTTTATTTAGTTATGTGAACTTCTATTAGATAATCCAATTAGAGATTACAACAATTTATCATACATATGTATGTGATAATTTTTCTATTATTTTTTCCATGCGTTTACCCTGCCGGAAGTTCGGACATGACGTTGCTACAGGCAGACATGACATGATCAATGTCCTTCCCTCAGGTCCACAAAGATGTTCCTTTGCCCAACAGTTCAAATCGACGTTGTTCGAATACTCGTGTCGCGTTTAGGACCGTACTCGTTCTTTGCCTACGGCTAACTGCTAACTTTATTTAGCGCAGTGTGTTCATCATTATCAGTGTGATTTTCTTCGTTTTCTACCAATGAAATAGCTATCATTAAAGCAGATCTTCATATTATTGTATTGGTGGCTTTATTATTTTATTTGATGCGGTCTATCTGTCGTTCGTGACACCGGCAACACGCTCTACGTAGCCGGGAGTACAACAATTAGGACTAGGTTAACATTGCGTTAATCGCATATTTTGTATTGGCTCGACATAAACGTCCTATCTACGATCGTCATCACCGTGAGCCATCATTTACGAAAGCTGATGAATGGATGCATTCGCTCATATTAGATAATGTCACTCGCTGTTACTCTTACAGTTCGATCATAGATAGCTTCCTTATAGATTAACGTAACTAAAGTTCAGGTCTGATCCATATCAACATTTCCTAACTAGTTAACAAATATTATTCGTTACTTGTATGTGGCTATCTATGATCGCTTTGGTCGTATTAGTCTTCTAAAAGACACGCACGTAAACGCACGCACGCACGCACGCACGCACGCGCGCACATATTCACACACCCGTGCACACGCACAGATACACGCACACAAACATAAACAAAGTACACTCCCAATTTACATGGCCAATGATGCGGCATCCTATGCATATACCTATATCTGATCGGCTTTTGGCTTCCTCTGTCTTCCCGTATCCTTCTATCTCTTTTTTCCTTTTAACTTACCGTTATCATTTTATGAAGCATACGACATAGTTAGACAATCAGGCTTGACAATGATACACATCTGAATATTTAATAGTCAAACTCGGAAAATTGTTTTGTCCTTTCCCCGGCTTTTAAGCCCACGTTTTGGTGCTGCACCAAAATAGCCTATATTGCCTCATTCTGATGGGAGATTTTTGACATGTTCGATATCCTCATCTGCCTGTCTCATCCAACATTCTAAACCGCCATTAAGCATGAGCAACTTCAGTGGCTTCTTAGGTGATGGTCAAAATATAAGGTCGCCCTTAGCTGTCACCTTTATCCTTTTTCGTGAAGATGCCCATTTCTCATTCTAGAGCAGCAAAGACGTATCCATAAGCGTTAGGACAAAGATCTACGATCGAAATCTACGTTCGCAGAATAGCTTTCGCAAGCTTACAAGCAATTCGTTAATATAGTAGTTAGGTGAGCTCGGCGTTACTGGTCGACTATTAATAGTTTCCTGTATATATTATGATTGAGTTATTTTTGATCCGATGGTAGTAAGCTCAAGGCCCGGATGCACCCGGAGGATGGCTACATTTAGCAGTTCGTTCTGTGCAAATGCATCTATCTGCCTGTTTGTGTTCGCTTGTGTGTCACGCTTCGCTTCCAACAACAATAACAACAAAAAATCACGAATCCAAAACGCTTTGACACGCAATTTGGCACAGTCCACATTAACAGAAATGTCTGTTGACGTTTCAGTGTGACGTCTGTCGCCAACGAACATGAACAGTCGATAAATTCGTAAAAAGAACGAGAAGAACTGAGACCAACCGCAAGAATCATCGTTGTTGCTTTTTACCGTGGGTGCTGTTTTTAGCCGCAATTTAACTTTTCCTTGTAACTTCCTCTAGCGTCGGAACTCGTGGCACAGATTGCTAGGTGCGCCTTTACTCAACCTGAAAATCTACTGTACGGTATGAATTTCATGACGATGAGTTCGTCTGTCGGTGTATGTACAACATTTACATGAGGTGTAAGAGTGTAAAGGTTAGTTGTCTCTCATGAGTGATAATTTCAGTCCAACAAAAGATGGCGCTGATCCGGTTGACCTGCTGACGTTGGTCGGTTCTTGTAGGCGACTGCGCCTATAAGAACAGTTTTGACCGGACTCGTACACCGACACTCAAACGCCAAATTCATTCATTCGTCTAATTTGTAATTTAGTGGTAACCTCCATTAGACATTCCATAATGACTTCGATGCGGATCCTTTGATGATCGCTGTGAGTACCTTTAATAGCAGAACCAATCAACCAAAAAAATGATCGATATCAGTAGATTTTGATTGAGGGTTACGTTTGTGGTTGTCGGATTCTTGACAAGTTCTGGCGTCATTGCAAAAAAACTGCAAGTAGAACTTTTTTTTCCCCCTAACTTAATCACTTTTGATATAAATCTACGAAAATACATATGACCTTGAAGCCGGCTTTGTCTGATAAGTATTTTTCGCTTTCGTGAAACGAACGAAGTGAAAGGAACTTCAAAAAAATCAAAACTCCGATGTCCTGTTTAAAATTACGCGCTGAACTAAGGGCCAGTAAGAGTTACTAACTAACTAGCTATCTAGCTTTCATCAACAATTTCGCGACAACGGCGACTGTTTCAAGTCGTAGGGACTGCCGAAGATTAAGGCCAAAGGTTCGACATTCTGACACACTTATTAAACACTTAGAAATTATTGAAGAAATGTAAAAAGTAATAGCCTACAACAAGGACATGCATTAATGTCTTACGGTTCCATACGAGACGGTATATATCATTACGTACGCGCTTTAATTAGGTACTTTGCTCAATTTCTAATGATGTGTATGTGAATTGATCGAGGATTGATTTGAACATTTTACTCGCAGTTTACCTGGAATGCGGTCTCGAATGTACCGTCGTGTAATGATCGCTAGCGTTTGAGATGTGACTTCGTCCTCCGAGAGTATTCACTCCGTAAGCCGATTGCTGAGGCTGTTGCTTGTGCAAGGTCGTGTGCGAGCCATAGTGAGAAGCTGGATAATACGATCCGCCTTTGTACGGGTCGTAATCTTCGATTTCCGACGACTCCTTTTCTTCGACCTGCTTTTATCGAGACAGAGAAAACAAGGGGCAGAGTACGTGTCAACGTCGTAGCTAAGTCGTAGGCGTATGCGCTTTCTCAACGACCCGAACAATATAACGGGCCGTCCCTAGGTCCTAAAAACAAAATATAAGGCTCAGCTTCTACTGGCCATGCGAGTATGCCCTTCTTGGCTAATCCTTACGAGACGCTTTTGTGTGGATAACCCATTGTTGATGCGTATGATTTGACGTACCCTGGCATCGTGATTCGATCGAACGAACGTATAGAATAGGGCGGACAACGAATTTACGACATCCAGCGTAATACGCCGCTAGATTCGGTACAACGTTCCAATATCTCATGGATAGGAGATAAGTGGCGATATCTACTAGCTGTCTCGAAGTTACTTCATCCAGTAAGAGAGTGACGGACGTTAGTTTATTGATAACAATCAAAATACTTTCTTTGGGATATTTGCCTCTAACATGAACGTGAACACGCATACTGTCGTATTTGGCCATAGGATTTTGATGGCTAGCCCCTATAACGGAAAATCGTCCCGTTCACGTAAAACAACCTTAGTTATATTTTTATTAATACCTTACAATATAAAAATTACGTCAATCTATTGACATTATAATGAAATATTTAAATACTTCACACGTATATTAATTATTACAGAAGCAAATCGTACCTCTGTATTGACGCACGAGCAGGTCAGCGATGAACAAAGGAAGATGTTGACAATTAACATAATCAACAGTAGAATAGCCAACGCAATACAGAGTCCAATGAGCCATGGGAAACGCCACTCGGTGCATTCGCGCAGGGGGCTAGCGACTGATTAAATAAAAACAGCAAACCATCCCAGTTATATACTATACAGTATCTAATCATTTCTCCAATAACTAGTACAGATAAAGTATCATACAACAATGTGTAAATATAGAGTCGTGTTGGCAAGCCTAATAATAGAAGAGCATAAAGCTTCAGCGAAGCTTGATCTAGTCGAAAATAGCTGCGTAAATATAGATCGATCTGTGCTATAGATGCACGTAAGTACATTATATATCACTGAAACACGTATACACACCACGTGAACGTAACACAAAAAAAGTTCTGCTTCCGAGGGAAACGCACTCCTCAATCGAAAGAGGAAGTCCTGGCTGCTTCGTTCCAGGCGTTTACGTGTCATCATTCCGGCCATATATGTAGAGTACTTTAGCGTCTTTCCTCAACAACACCCGCAACAGCGGCACAATGCAGCCATTGCTGAATAATACTTCATTGTAATTTATCATTGAACAGTTACCGATAGCTTTTGTGCATTCGTTGGCATGAAAGCGCCATGCCAATGCTTCAGCCGTAGCTGCATATATACAAAAGTAACAGTTGTCAGTTTCACTTACTTGACGCTTGCCCCGGTTCCACAACAAACACGGAGGTTGACGCGGACAAAGAGCTTTCGGCTTCGCGACCTTTGCCCGCGGCCCCCTTGGTAGTGACGGTCTCACGAGGCTGACACGAGTTCTGCAAAGGAATGACACGAGGTAACAAGCGAATAAATAAATTAATAACGGCCTAACGCAGAACATGGCTCGACTGACGTTACATGTTGGTTGCGTTTATGCTAGAACAAGCGCCGCTAGAGAATAACGTATCGTTTCTTGATGTCAAGCTTGACGTAGGCTGGTTCACAACACCAAAACGATATTACAATAAATTAGGAGAGTCAAATAGAAAAAATAAGATTACCGCTAGTGCGCTACAGCTTAATTGATGAATAAACTTATAGCGTGATCTTTTCTTGCGATCCGGAAATTTTCCTCTAGTACAAGAATCTTCATTTGAATCTCAATAGATATCGCTCTACCAATTCTAACGTACCATACAAATACATATAGAGCAAATCAAAATCATTGCGCGCTTACTGCAAACGCAGACGTTATTTTCGTCTTAATTATTATTAATAAAACATATTCAGACCGCGCGCGGAACGCCCTCGATAACGGCAACTACGGTATAATGGTGTTCTGTCTCTACTATAGCGCTATACTCGTAGGTCAGTGACGGAACGTCGCGACGATCCCATATGACAAAGCAACTGCCCACCTCTATAACAAAAATTATCTCATTATCGATGTACTTAATTAATCTTATCGATAGTTCGTCGTCACATCATTTGGCTCGATCAATAAAAATATGCCGAATCATACAAACTATTGCATAGGCGTCAGGCAATCATGGCGGCTTTGCTTTCGGTGGTGTCCAGGCTCAATGGTTACTTCGTATCAATGAATTGAAAACTTTACGAGATAACAGTATTGCAATACAAACAAGCGATGAAGGCCATCATCTATTTCGCGAAACAGTGATAGATTGAAGTTGATGAAAATGATATATGTCGCTTGTCAATCATTATCAGTGACCGCATCGCCGCGTGACGCAATACTAGACGACGCCTAAGATGGACTAGCTGAATTACGTCCGCTTTTTCATGGTCTGACCGGACAGCAAACCCCATTATGGCTTGTTCTCGCCGTCCAGTTTCTGCGCAGTACTCTGACCGCTGGTCGAACAGCCGCTTACAACTGTGAACTATACGAGATCGAAAGCATGAACTAGAGAAAAAGCGTCCCAAACGAAGCCGGTGGCATTTTTTATATTGATATCGTTCTAATATGGTTACATTAGTAGATGAACGTAAGGACCGCTCGTGGCTACCTATGCTTTGCCAGCGTCCAGGGATGCTGCATCGCTACTGCAATTGCTAATGCCATCTAACTGCTCGTATCCTGTGCAGGCGGTAACGCGTATTACTTTAATTATTCTGAATATTTCCTTTTTCCTTTCGTCCCAATCCTCTTTGTCCCGTTTCATGCCGTCATATTATCTATATGTGATCTGATTTGCTTATCTGCAATTGCCAGGATAGCTTTAACTTCCGATAACCTTAAATGAGCAGAATCTGTAGTTAGCTTCAAACGCGACACCGGCCACTGTTCGATTGGCAATTGATTGACTGACTGAATTATTTGGCGAATAGAATTAAGCGATTCCTTGAACATTGATAGGTCCTTATTATAGTGCGTAGGTAATAAATTTGAAATTTTTGAAGTCTACAAGTATGAAAATATCAAACCTTAGCGTCCATTACGCTCAAATGCTTGATTTTTCATCTACTTATGTTTTCGACTAGACAGTTCTATATGGATAGATACTGACATATACGAACGCGAGAAACATACTTTTTGTTTTATATGATTTTACACGGCCAAAAGATGGCTTCGCTCGAGTCATAAGAGATGATGTTGGTATATGTATGTATAACGCAACCAAAATATTACTAGCCCATCTACTAAGTGTCTACATTTATTATCTATAAAAAGGTATTTTCATCCTATTACTTAGCATGGCAAACAATATAGACGGGCTGAGGCAGATAGAAAGTAGCCTAGTTTTTTTTTGTAGTCGGCCCTCTGTCACTTCTTTAGAAAATAGCCGCCACTTATAGAAGTCTCTAGTCATACCAGATAGTAACAGACAGCGAGTTGCACAATGAAAAGTCAACAACAAACGATATTCAGCGAGGGAAAACTAACCTTTTTTTTAACCTTGTTTTCTCTTGCTCATTGCAACAGCAAGAGTGCGACGATGTCTTAGCGTCTTAGGATGTCTTAGGACGTGCGTCGACACAAGTTCGCTTCACATGGCCACTAAGATTTTTTTAAGTTAGCAGAACGAACAAAACGAAGATATTGTGTGTACATACAAACAAAGCCATACATATGCACGCTGATACACAGCGCACATGAACCCACAGCTATGATCACTGACAACGTATAGTCTGTACACATGGCATATGCGTTTGCAAAAATGAAAATTACTAAAGAACAAAAGGAAAGAAAAGCATACGCTCTGCTAACAGAAAAAAACAATGCCAGCACCAATGGGCCGTCCAATGCAGGAGACGATAGGCAAAACCAAGACTGTACGCATGGTGTACTGGATCTGGTCGATATAAACAGCTTGGCTTGTAAACTGTAATAATGCGTCCGCGTTGGGGCACCGCCGTATAAGCGTTTTGTCGGCCATCGCGACTTCAGCAACCAAAAGCGAACGGGGGTTCGGCGTCGTCGACGAGAAGCGGAGGTTATCCTTTATGTACGCGGACGGAACTAATCAGCTTCGTTCGTCGTGAGGCGGCCAATCGCCAACATCGCCTCCGGCCCGATGTCACCGGATGCGTGGACACTTGGACCGGCAGTTAGATAAAACATCGCCTATGGCGTCCCACTATTATTCGCCCATTAAACCCGAGCGATAATCGTTCGTTTGGGTATTCCTTGTTCGTTGCAATGAATTTTGGCAAAAAAAATCGCTTCTCTAACTTCATCTTCTTCTTCATCGTCGTCTTTTTCCTGCAGCTGCATTTCTGCCATCGGTACATCAACTTCGGATTTGTTACCGGACTAGGCAGTAAAAAGCGTGTGTTTTAAAATACCCGTCGCACGGTCGCGCGCACTCCAGATGTGCTCATCCTTCTGGCCAGCGAAGCGTCGTCATCGACGAAGCTCGTGCTGAGCAAACAGAAAGACAAACTAAGCTCTCAGTTTGTCTTTCTTTCTTTCCAAATAGTTTTTTTTCCAGATGAATAGCCGGCGCTTTGTTCCAGCTGCAGTGTGACGGTATGCGACTTTTATCTGCGTCAAGGCATCGCTTCTGGTAGAGCGGGCCTGCTGTTGATTCCGTCCCATGCTTGATGCAGCGACTGTGCATGCCTCTAATTCTGTTGTTGCTGTTGCTATTGTTGCGTATATATATACACACGAATCCGTAGCCGCACTGGCACGACAATGTTATATAATTGCAATTTTTTAGAAAATTCAGGGGAAGACGTCACGGTTATGCTGGGCTGTTATCGTCGGCATTGTCAACACCATCCACTTGTAGCTAGGATACTAGCGATTAAGAGGAGAATTGAACAGGAGAGAAAAATGTGGGCATGACGCAGCGGTCAGACCCGGGTAGTTCTTAAGACTTTTTTTCGAACTTTTGTAGCGTTGGCGATTGGTTTGTATTCAGCTGTGCTAAGGTCTGTGGGGAAGACATGGAACAAAGCCGGTGAATTGAGATGATCGTTCGGGTCTGGCGTAGCACGGCTGACACGGGCGATACACGTTCCGATCGCATTGAAGTAAGAAACGCAACCGGGGGTTTCCAAGAATGAACAAACGTTCGACTGGTGACGGTGATTGGGGTGGCAGCGGCAACAGTGTGCGCGGCTAAGCTGTACAACTTCGAACAGAAGGCAAGTTATTTTTCCACATTGGAAAAATTTATCGCGTAAGCCAAGATTTTTGTGATGGATAACAAGATATTTTCATTCGAAGCACAACCTGACCTAGGACGAACAATAGTTGTTTCACGTAAAATATTCTTTCAAGATATCGGGGCAAGAACTTAGCAAATGAAGCTGCTTGCTTCTGAACGGCAGGAACGTTTCGTTGCCATTTTACGTAAAGACCTTTCATACGATTCAATACCTTCATCCGAAAATTACAATTACGTTCACTCTTCAGCAGAGGATTATCGTTCGGGCTAGACAAAAAGGCTTGCACCTCCTAGGAGCTACGGTCGATGCCTTTGCCTAGCAAGTTGCCAAAAGCTGATTCTATCATAAACGAACGCATGTAATGAAACGAATTCGTTGAAGCATCATTGAAGAGAGGAAAAAAAGTACTTTTTCTAAATCTTTCTAGGGGATACAACTTTTGCGTGTAAATCGATGGAACTCCATGATGCATGTGAATCTTAGCTTAATAAGCGTGAACGTTTTTACCGCACTATTATTGAACAATAGTAACAACATCAACAATTGCCTGCGCCCATTTGGTCAGACCCACCCGCCCTTGCAACTACGCAGCGTAAAATGTTGACAAGGGCGTATGGGGAAATTTCGCCCTCGTTTTGTCACGAACTTCAGCGAGACGGGACTGTGAACTCATTACTGTTTACTTTGTTCGTACATCAAGAAAATATGCTATTTTTGTCCTAGTAAATAGTTTCAATATACGAGTATATAGTAACTTGAAAGTTGTGTATAAGGTGCTCTTCTTATTTAGATTTTTAATCAAGACAATACAGAAGTATAGATATATACGAGGCTTTGAAATGAATATTCTTATTCGTTTGTTGGCTTTCGTTATTGGATTATTAAATAACAGCGAAAAAAAAAAAAAAAAAAACTATGAAAAAATTGCTTCGTATCTTTATCAAAAGCGAAATTTTCACTGCAAACGTTTTATCGTACGGCAAAGAAAAGGACTAAATAAATAATCCAATATCCAACATAATTTGTGACACCGTCTTCCGTCTTTCTTTGCGATACAAATATTTTTCTATTACACAATCACTTCGAATACACACCTCTGGACATTCGTTCTCGCCGGAACAAACGAACACATCGCACTGGACGTGGATCTTGTTCGATTCGGGAAACTTAAATTTTGCATTAAGTTCTGCCTCCGCATAATCCTTATCCTCAACAAACTTGAACGATTCAACAAAGTTTGCTATAGAACAACCTTTCCTATCGATGAACTCGACATCGGAGTGGTTTGCGGAGAACGCAAAGCATGACCGAACCCGGATACCACTCACACCTGGAATTGAGCAAGACGAAATGAACAAATGCTGCCTTTTACAGCCACCTTCTCTCAATCATACTGACACGCATACGGCTGCTCTATTTACCTACAGATGATTCATTGACGTGTACTATAGTTACAGACGTATTTTTGACTACAAGCGTTACATTAGTGCGATTTTGATGCAGACATTCATAGCCGTAAGGCTGCAGCTATCAGCATCACGAATGCTAGCACAAGCAGTTGCGCGTAAAATTAACGATAACGTGTCCGTTAGTTCGCGCGTCCATTAGTTATTTCCTGCCTAACTGTCCATCATACAAGAAACAAATGATAGCAACAGATGGGGTGGGTATTATATTTTACGAGGGTTGCCGTTATTACTATGAATGTTTGCACGTATCCCTTTTATGCGCCCATTGTGGCATGTCGCATCGTAATCCTATCATAACGTGGCAACATTTGTTAGTTTAGTATCATTCAGTTAAGCTTGTACTGTTGTATCTGAGTGTCTCTGAGCCGCTATCAGTTCACTAATCTTCGTCGGACGAGTCGATACGGGATACTGTCTTTGTGAAATCGGCAAAAGGTTGACAGGACAAAGAAATCGCTAAAGTGATTATTTCCTTTAGGACAACTGCTGCCGTCTCTCGTTTCTGGACTGCTTGATACTACGCTGGACCGCATTTCTAGTCATGGTACAGCAGCGTACATATAACATACATGCATGTATACACGGAGAAGCTGAGTAGTAGCAAACGAAACGAGTTAAGTTTGTTCGATGTTGTCCTTAGCCAATTCAATTTTTAGGTAGAATTTGTCTAACTGGCAGGTCAGACAATACTAATAAAATACTATTATGTTATCCCCGCTTCAAGTAAGGGGCTCTTCAAATAAGATCATTTTCGTATGTATCTGAAATTTTTCTATGTACGTACGTTACTCCTATATGCAAAATATGTAACGTTCGTTCCGACCAGATTAAGTTCTATGTTGAAATACTCGAAGACGTAGACGAGTGATTTCAAATCCTTGTCTTATCACGTTAGTTGTTGATCTCCGCAAGCAACTATATATGGCAAGCGATAGATTTAGGCTCGGTACAAACTGGAACTCTGCACAGACCTGCAAGGGTCACCTTAGCTGAAGTAGGCACTCAGCCCAGTCCTGCTGTAACGGACGCTGGTAACTTGGCACACAATTGCGATTTTAAGGAGTTGTCTCTATGTGAAACTGTGGCAACTGCGTACATCACGTGTACGCCATCTAACTTCAAGCATTTTTTTGATTCCGTATCCGGTGTATGTATACGTCACGTATACGCTGCTCATATTTATGGCATATTTGCCACGATACGCCAGTGATTTTCTGTTTGGGCCCCAGTATCGTTTATATTCGTGTGAGCTTAAGACGACGCTAGTCCTTAATGTCTGTTTACGGTGTCTCGATTTATCGTCGAACAAGCAAGTTTTCGTGGGATAATTCATTGGCAGACTTTTTGTAAGACAACTGAATATGGGTCTTCAAGATGTATTCCCAAGGAACCGCCCCAGGAAAATCCCCTGTTATTTTAATTGTACGTATATCACTTAAATCAAATATGATACTATCGGAACGTAAAGCAAGAACCAAAGCTCAAAGCGAGCGTTACTTGTTTGGCGCGCATAAATTGTATAGTACTTATGTGTCGTTAGCGGAACCCAAACTAACAACCCTCACAAATCAACACCACGGATAAAAATCATAGGGTAAACATCCTTTTCAATTGTGCCTAGCCCAAGTGCTCGTTCGTCAGTCGTCATCCACATAATATTCAATATCTCACTTGTCATAGCAAGCCATTATTAGCAGCAAAAGTCCCGCATAGACTGACGTGTCTAAAACAACCTTAGATAGCTCATCATAGATCATTAGGCTAAATTCCTGCTGGCTGCCGATTCACCCAACTTGTCTTTCTTTGTCATTTAATCCTGGTAGATCTCTCTCACTTTAGCCCTACTTCTACAGCACTTCTCTTGTGAGGCACTAAAAGTAGTGATGAAATTAACTCAGTAGTGAACACATGTACTCAGAATCGATTTATGTTGTTGAAGGTCATTTCCAGCCTCCTCTGAGCGTCAGGGAGGCGGCGACCCACAACACCCTTTGATGACGTTTCTTCCCGTTCTTTATTTGATTTCTGCTAAATTCATTCATTCTATCCATCCGTCCTGCACGCCCTTCAAACAGTGGTCTTCTGATTTAAATAGGTAATAAGACGATCCGTCGTCCCTGCTATCTGGTTCTAAATCGAATAGTGCCAGTGACGTCTTACCAACTATTTCGTCAATAGACGAACATAAGTAAAGAAAAAAAATAAACGGAGACTGCATCATATATGTTTAATACTTATCTAACAAGAGAACTCTTACCAGGAGGAAACATATGAGCCGAAAGTAACTATAATTGAGTGTTGCCGCCTTCCCAGCTGTTCATGCAGAAGGAGTGAAATGCGTTGGAACGACAGACTCGATCAGCTTATACGGATGGCAAACACAGGGGATCAGACGACTACAACGATAGACGAGCAATTAGATTTACACCCTGATCCGTTGATCGGGCCTGGGTAAAGCGACTTCCGGTCATCTGCTGCTGCTACTGCTGCAACCGGCTACAGCAGAAGGTTCCGCTCCTATCTGGCTACAACTGATTCTAATAGTATTAAAGTTATGGCGTTTAATACTGTTTGGTGGTACCCCATGATGCGTAACGGGAACTGGGAAACATCATTAGTAGAATATATGATGATTTTATTATTCGGTACTAAGAGGCCCAGCCCTGCAGATTGGTTGCTGATTGACCTTGGTCAGTAAGCTATGCAGTTTGCGGTATTTGCCTGATATGATCGCAATCTTCATTGTGGCATTGGGCAATATAATCATATTCCCGTAGAATCCCGCTAACGAGTTAGGATATGTTTTGAGTGTGATCTTTTTCTGCTGTTACCTTTGCTGCTTAAGGAATCGCATTACTGGCTAGCAGCTCTTCTACTTGCCACCAAGCATTTTGTATATCTATGCACCTACAATATACCTTTGCATGCACAAGTTCGGCTTCATGCAGGTACGTACTAACTGAACTCATCAAAACAAACACAATTGACACATACACGAACAGCTGCCAGGCTCCTTCGTTTGTGTACCTGGATCGTGTTCTCATCTCCCGTACGACACGTCGATAAGCAAGGATTATTAAGCCGTCTCGGTAATTGACAGCGCCTATAATTATTAAGTGTAAGAGCAAGAAAATGGCTTCAACTGTTTCTACGGTGTAAACTAATTTTCGGAATCACCTTTTCTGTATAGCATCAAAGCGCCGAGGGCTTACCCCAACATGTTTAAAATTTCTTCAGATTATTACCTTGTAGCCATTTAGGGTAAATGCACGGTAACTATGCACGTCAACATTTTAATTGTGACGCATGCTCGCGTAATGGAGTCTATATAGCTGTTGATAAACTCCCCTGGTTTTCCTTGTCAGGTTGAGTGCATATGCTCGTGAAGTGAAGGAAGGCGTCTAATTATCCGTGGTCCTATTTCCTCAGAGTGATTAGTGAGCAAATTTAGCTGACGTATTATTTAGCTGTTACAAATTATGTACAGTTTACTGAGGGTGTTGTCGTAAAACAACTAAATGACATCAAGCTTTCGCAACCAATGAACTACTCTGTTTCTGTTGTTTATCGCTTAACAACTGCCGCTAGACATTGAATTATGTATTCCACCGTATCAACGTTGATTGTTATGCCTACGTATTGCACTTCTACAGAGTTGAAATCTGCTGTAAATTCGGGTACTTACGGCCCGGACCGGAGACGGTTGCCCGTATTTGGTACTTCCTGCCGACGATCAATTCGGGCACCTTTTTACCGTCCTCGATAAAATTCAACGTCACTCGATTTAGCTCGTTCCTAAAAAACAGGAGAAAAATAGGACAAGGCATTCGTTACAAACTACGGCTTCTACTCGTATGGCTCCATAGCGCCAACGATGCATTCACGGAATTGCATAGAAAGTACGTTTGCTGTCGTACATATTTGATTGAATTATAAACTCGATCGCTCTGATATATTACTCAGTATGTTATCATAGGTAGCTCGACGCCCGAGCTGATACTTACCGCAGACAAGTGTTAAACCTATTGAATTTGTAAAGTATTGAGTGACCAGTAAAAATATCCATCCAATATGTCCAACCCAAAAATGGACACGACGTGAGCGAACGTATCAAATTGTATAAGCATGAAAAACATCCACTAGTAAGGCAAGAATCGCCTTCTTCGGATAATTATTATAATTATGATTTTTAATTGTCTCATAATTAGGCCAATATACGATGCTGATTCTCAATAGGCGTTTGCCTGAATAGTGGTAAATTTTACTCACTCAGCTATTATATAACGTTTGCAGTAACCGTAATATTTTATGCTGTTCTTAGTTTATAATTATTATCGGTGCAATAGTATCAGATAAAGAAGCACAGGCCAAAGCACAAATATAAGAATTTGATAAGGCACCTGTTTTTATTTGTGGACAAATATTAACTCTGTCAGGGTTACCAAACCAAGCAAATAAATACCAAGAAATAACACGTACGGATGTGTCAATATGCGGCCTGCAGAAAGGCGTATATTGTGTTGTTTTTTTCTATTCTAATATAAATTGATAACTGGTTCCAATAGTCACTAATTAACTAAATAATAATAAATAATAACTAAATAATAATTAACTAAAAGCAGTGACTGTCAAAATGTGCGTTCCATTTTGATACGCGTTACAGTCACAGCAAAAAGAAGTCGATTGTGATCGGGAGCTGAATTTTCATTTTCTAAATAAAGGAAGATCTGGCATTTGGCGGCATTTGGAACATTTGGCGGCCTTTGGAACATTTGGCGGCATTTGGAACATTTGGCGGCCTTTGGAACATTTGGCGGCATTTTTGAACTACCTCTGAGACATCCGATGTTGACATAAACTTTTAATGCAGTAGATCGAGCGTACATTGTCAACATAGTTTATTCGAAGCTAAAATTTTTTAACATATACATCTGTCAAAATGTGTCGATCTGTGACTTATAATACCATATATAGCTAGAAATATAAAAGACACTGGCATTTATTGCTGATATAGTGCTCCTTTCTGGTACAGCCATTGATAAGCATGCGGCGTGGACGCCGTTCAGTCGAAATAAAAAGAATTTCGTGGTACGTTTTAAGTGGAAACAGTGCACAAATACCTATTTGTGATTTTTCTATGATTTCTCTTGAACTCATTATTATTGCTCTTATTATTGAAGTGACAGCCTACATTCAGGTCTTTGCCTCGTTCAGAAACATGCGTATCCTGCAAATTTACTATATACTCACACTTACGTTCAACGTTTCTATTCACGGATCGTATTTACTTTTCCGGTAGACTCTGAACGTTAGAGATTACGAGCATGTGATGTCTTTCCTTTTTCCGTCTTGGTAACCTATAATATTCTTTTTCCCAGTTTATGTAATAAAACTAATGGCAAAAATACTACTTTTCAGGGATAAACGAATATGTTGAGACGCTTTTTCTCAGGCTGCCTAAACGCTTATAGGTATTACTATTGTTTTGTAAATTAACAAAAGCGCTTTGCTCTGTGAGTTTGATACCCTTGGAGACATAGGAGACAAACGATAACATGCTTTGCATTTACAATACTTCTTTACTAAATCGCCATCTGTTAGCTGATTTACAATCGTCCGATACTAAAATATCAGCGTGGTACAACGTGCGGGAAATAAACAACTATACTGATACATGCCGATGGTATGACACGTTCGCATGGCCTGCCAATTGGATCAGAGCAAAAGCACTACTTAGTCGGAAATTTGTCATGCGTCCCAGCCGAAATAAACTAGAACTTCTTGTCCGTATAGGGTAAAAGTATTTTCGAAAATGAATACAACTGAACTAACGGTAGCAAACGAAGCCTCCGAGTCTTTCGTTGTAGTCGGTGTTTGATAGGCGAAATGCGGACAACAAGCTATTAACACAAAATGACCAGTACAAGTTATACTAGTGGTGAGACCATATCCTAAGAAAACGCACGAGGAGTGAGCCGAAAAGCTGGCGATGGTGACAAAATCCTCGATAAACGTTAGCTATCCATTGGCGTTGAGATTAACGACAAAGCTGTCGTATGCTTTTGAACCGTTCTAGCCAGCGTTCTACGACTGCTATAATTTTTCATGGTAGAGGTAAGTTGTACGATAGGAGGAGGAGAATGGTGGAAAGATGTTTTAAATATCCCTTCGAGAAGCAGTTGTCCATCTTCAAAACAGATTTAAAGGTCTCAGCAAATAGGTGAAAGTGCCGTTGACGTAGATCTGAAAACTAAAGACACTTCCTGTTTCAATACAGGTTCACAGCTCAGTTCAGGCTAAGTCTGAGGATTTGATGGAAAAGACAAAAACTAACCACGCTTTGGCGTATTCCGATTCCGCTGATTTCACGATGATTGCTAGCTTAAAACTTGTCTTCAATCTATCGAACAGTCACCACGATTTTTACGCCGTTCGAATGCTATTGGAATAGTACCAATAGTGTTGACAATGTCGCAGTCATTGTTAGCACAAGACAACCAAAATTGTGTTTTACAGATTTGGCGTTCCCACCTCTTTTCCCGCACTAGCATCCACCGCCTCCCCGAGCTTCGTAGTACTCCAATTCTCTGTATCGTCGCAATAGTGAAACTTGAACAATGCTGTTGCGCAGATGACAGCGCGGAGGTTTTTTTCCATAAACCAGGCATAACTGTGATTCGATGCCGCAGCTAAGAAACAGGCCGACTATCAAAAAAGTGAAATTACCATCAAAAAACATCACCATTTTTGCCAATCATCAAACATCCAGCCAGTCAAGCGCTGATCTTCCTGCCAAATCGCTGGAGACATCATCGGCGTCTCGAATGTTTTTCACACCTCTCAACGAATGCAAAAGTCGCACAAAAAAAACGCGGCGGAAGTTTTTTCAACTACAGGGAGCTGTGGGGGCACAAAAACCGAGCACGCGTGGGTACATGGACAGCACAGATGAGAACCCAAGATCAAATTCGCTCGAAACGACAGAGGTATGACGTCAAATAGAAGTTGTTACAAATATGGATACAACAACTGCGGCGGGAGCCACCGAGGCAATGGCAGACACACGACAGTAGACATATCTATGTATGTATACATATAGAATCACTAGGATCAACGCGGGCACGCAAAGTGACTGTTGATGCCAATACGATGAATTACCAGGCCATTCGGGACCGATATACGGCTCCTGAAAAACATACCGCCGCAACTAGAGCCACGTATGCAGAGGTTAAAAATCGTCTTTAAATTAACATGTCAATATCAATCAAAATGGCTGGCTAGGGCACGTGTCTGCTAGAGATTTGCATGGTGCTTTTCGCCCTATTGTTTAAAACAGACAACTGTTCAAATTACGGAAGTTCTCTACGGAAATTTGAACCTTAACACACCTGAAACGTGACGTGGTCTGACACGCGGTTCGGGCAGATAAATCCCGTTGTTACCCCCTGTCGTCTGTATTAGGACCTAGGAGCTTTAGCATAATCGGACCTGAGTTACGTTTAGTGCTTTTAAATAAAGCAGTCAACGCGTAAGTAGTGCGGCCGTTATGTCAGCTCGTGTTCATCAATCACCCAACAATGATTGTTGAGGAAGCGGAGGGTTGAAAGTCAATCGCAAGCTATAACCTTTTATATTCATATATTTCCGTCAGGTATGAGTTAGCAACACTTGGTCCAACGCTGTGTAAAACAAACGGCGTTAGCAACTGTTTACCAGTTTCAAACATCTCATTTATGGCATTATCTTGTACCTTCAAACTTTTTTCGATCTTTTTACTCGGTACCTAAAGGAGATTGTCCTTCGCAGACTCCGAGATCGCCGATAACCTTTTACATTGACCGGAGCTAGACAGACGTGACAGACGAAGTGACGATCCGCCTAAACCTCAAGAAGTCAACCACGTGGAACCTAATTATGTGGCTTAAACCTGATTAAAAGATAAATATATTTGAATTACCGTACACTAAGAGATACGACTGCGTTTATGGGTAGTTATACTATATGTGTCTGCCTGAGGAAAGCATTCGAATGTCTTTTTTAAATTTTTATTAATTTTTTCCACTCTCTGGTCGTGTTGACCTATCAGACGTATGGCTTTTACTACTTGCACAAACTGTTATATCAGTTGTCATCACGCTGTTGTCGCCGTGATCTGCGCAATCATTAATATAATGGATGCTACTCTTGACTCGTCCATAGATGCGACACCGCTTTCTAGCTGCGGTTTAAAACCAGATGCAAACGCGCGAAGCGCCCGCATTTACGCGACAGCCAGCGTCACAGTGGACATGTCACGTTCTGTTTTGTACTTGTATGGCCATATCTATCTGCGTATGGATGCTACCGTATTTTGTATGAAACGTCGCCAGACAACGTCGCGGAGCAGGCAATCTCTGGTCGTCTGGCCGACTACGAATTCATTTTGGCGCTGTAAATGCGCGCATCGATCGTAGTCTCCTCCAGCAGAGTCAGCCGCGTTCGATTTGCGACGATCGGACTTCAATGTTTACTGAAAGCAGCGAGCAACAACCCACTAGGCGTTATGTTGACCTTATGTTCCGCGCAACATATTCTCTGCGTATGTGTACGTGGGCCTCCATGTGGTGTGCGTATATATTTATTCGTATATATGCGTCAGAGCAGCCACTAGATACGATAGGTTCCCAACTTGATTACGTCGTGGCGTGGTTATTATCATTAGTATGAATATTGTTCATTGGCAAGACGGGCTTCGACGAAGATTACTGCGCGAATGACCTTATCCTACAATACTACTACTGCTAGAGCGAGCAAGCACTGGGGGCATGCGTATAGAGACCGTCTAAAAAAAACTGCTAAGCGAAGGGCACAGATCTGGTTAGTTAAAAGGCTAAACTCTACTAGCGGAGATAACAACGGCTACCATCACTGGGACGGCCAAGAAGTGTGGCACCAACAGCGACCAAAATCGTGAGTTCTGTCGCCGCTGTTGGCGCCGACGCCGTTCCGCTACTGCACTCCTTGCCGCCGTTGCAGGAACTTAGCTGCAGCCGCTGACGCCCTGGCTGTTGATCATCATACAGCCGGTAATGATAATCATGTTCGGAGTGAGCCGTCCGTCAGCAGCTGCTCATGCAAAAAGTGGGTAACGGAACACGTGCGTAAACTTCGTTCGTTCTGTTGCCGTAGTTACGCTAATCACCGCCGATAAAATACTTGCTCCCGTGGGGTTGCTGTTCTGGTCGCTCTACCGTTTGCTACGACTTTTGCGCTGTTGTTGTTATTGCGGTGGTTGCATTGTCTCTGGCCACCAGCATCGCCCAGTGGAAATCGCCAGTCGATGAAGAAGAACGACAAAGAGACGAGCAAAGGCCAACGAAAAAAAAAAAAAAAAAGAAAACAAACGCAAGCGAAAATAGGAAAGCCATATATCTACTATATGTTCGCCAGACGTTACCGCATACGGCCGACGCGACACGTCTCAATTTTATAATAACTACGCCACAATTATATACCATACACAATGAATACGGACGTCGCCATTCAACACAGCTGATGCTTTCAGCTCGACAATATTGGGAGTGGATAACATATTGGAAACACATATCAGTGGATCGGTATCGGCGTAAAACTTTCCATGTACGGATTAGAATCAAAATCTTTCGGTTGCCATTAGGCTGCTTCATAAATATGATCGGCAAAGGACGGAAAAACATTTCGTGGAAGTCGACGGATCGACCTCACATCGACCGTTGACTACCCGCGCGGAGATTTCCTCAAATGCTTCCTCCCCTTTTGTCCTCTCGTTTCTATCTACGGAGTTGTCACGCAGCGTATCAATGGATCATTTGTCATATCCTTAAATAAAAAAAAAATCGCGAACCGACTTGGCGTATTGAGATGCAATTCATTTTTCCTCAACGGGTGCTACGACCCTGCGTGTTGCTATACATGTATATACTTATAGATTGTCAGATGTAATGATTAGTAATGGCATAGATAAAATTGAATCTGAAGACTACACCAAAACGGGTGATGAGAAACAAACCAAAACTATTTCTAGTAAAGGAAAAATTGTCTAACTAATACTAAAAATCAACAGGATAGCGATCTAAGAAAATAAAAAAAATGATAAAGAAAATGTCTGAAAAAATAGGTGACGTATTTAGGTACATTATGTACGTTACTTAAGTGTTTTTTGCGTGTCCTGCTCTGCTTTTGCGATAGAGGCCCTTGAAATAAAGAAACTAGGCGATACAAGTGGTACTGGTTAGGATCAGGCTTTAACGATAAACCAGGTTGGACTAATTAAGTGTTTGATTTCATAGAATTTATTATCGCAAAGTTCGCGGCTGATCCAGTATCCATACCTTGTTAAATATGATCTCGTCTGACCCCATAGCACTTTGATTCTATACTGTTAAGCGTTCTTTCGGATCCATTCTATGAGATCAGATCATTAAGACAAAGGACGAAGCTGTTTCGTATCGATGTTTATAGCGATATACGCAACTTTAGACCTGACTCTGGAACAGGGGGCTATATATGTGATCTTAAGATCCTGTAGCAGTTCGGGTGAGTCTCTTTTATAGAAACATGCCTCACTCTAAAAATACACTTCTTCAAGTGACGAAAGGTTTTGAATACGAACGAAAGAGCCTATTTAGTCGTCTTGCGTTTAGCCAAACAAGAACTACGGTAGCATCGTGGTGTTACGACACTGCGTCCTTGTCTGTGTGCAATATGCCCCATACAGCTTTTTCCACTGCATTAAGTACTATGGCTGTTGCATAGGGAAGCACCAACCTTAGGTTGTAAGCACCATACCCGTACCTGAGCTATTGAAAAGCGTAGTATCTAAGTAGATCTAATTATCTAGCGTAGGTCCAACGACAGACTGTTCAAGTAAATGCGTCGACGGCTTGTACAGATATTATTATTCAAGTTCAAGATTCATTTACATAAAAAGAGTGTCCATTCGTTAAGGTCTTACGGTTGCAAAGTATGACTGTTCTGTATGCTTATAGGAGAGCGCGCCTTTAGTAAATTAACTATTCATTCAATTTTTAAACGTATGAAAAAAATATTCTCTGAGAAATTACTGAGAAATTGAGGAATTACTTCGGTTAGCAATGAAAAATATTTTTCATTGCTAACCGAAGTCAATAACGTATTCCCTTGTAACATTGAAAAGACTGATTTCAAATTTTTTTTTTTAAATGATACTTAGTCATCACGAACGATATTTAGTGAATCAGAGATTTCTAATAGGATTCATGCTTGAGAGTTTACTTAGTACGACGTTCCTATACAGTTACCAAGTTGAAAAAGTATAAATACTTTAATTTTGCGAAAGAAAAACAGGCGACAGTATTTCACTTGGCTCAAGCATAGAATACAATCAGATTTTAAAACAGCCCCCACATTCATTTAGTCTGTTTATACGCTAGCCAGCGGCAAGTCATCGCAACAAATCCTAGTTTATTCGGCCGTACCATCGGCAATTTTTTGCTAAAGAGGCGATCTAGCTAAAATTCTCTCTGCCGTTCTCTATTCTTATGGTCTACTTCCGGTCGTGCTCGCCTTTGGACGTTATAGTTTCTGAAACAAGTCATGTTAGATTATTCGCGAGGTCCCAGATGCACACATGTGAAGTCTAGAAGTGAGACTCGTACCTTAGTAACCATACCTACAATTTGAGCTGTAAAAACTTTGCATAGTCTAGTTAGTCATCATGGGGCAAAAAAAAATGAATATATCATAACTAGACCTCAGGTTGGGTCGAATAGAGTTATACTAAGGCTACCATTTGGTGCTCCTGTACGCTGGATGTACGACTAGTATAAGATACGACTGCTATGCATCCACTGAAACGTGTTGCAGTTGTAGTTCACTACTCAAGTTCCTTTCTTACTTAGTGTTTTGTGGCTTGACAAATTAGTGTTGGGCATAATGCTATACAAACACGACACAGTCAAGTAAAGCTTTTCTTCTTTCTATCGCCTTACAGGTTTTTTTTTTACTTAGATCTAATTGACGTATAGATGGAAGTCCCGCCAATGATGCGTAAACACTACATAATTTGTGTGGATAAAGGAAGTTAATCGCACAATATATATATATATTCGATTAAAAAAGCCTTTTGAATGATAGAATTATATCCGGCTTACAGGTGCCACTGCACCTACTAGACGTCGTAATTTTGAACTGATATAAAAATTATTTCTACTCGTATCCGCGCCTGCATTATCTCTGACGGTTCTAAGGACACACAGGCATTACTCGTACTTACCTTGCATTCCGGAAATTTCCTTTGCCACACGAGATAATGTACGACTTGTCTTCCTGCAGCTCAAGCGATTTATGTGCCCTAACATACACGGCAACGTAACGTTCCTCTGAAAATTCCTGCAAGCGAACGCACATTGCCGCCGCAATGCACGGAAAGCAGAAACAAAAAATTTTAATTTAAAATTTACCCGCGTAGCGGTAACAGTTTTCGTTAGTGAGCTTTTCGTCTTCTATCTCTCGCTTTTCGTACTCTATAAACACAAAAAGGACGAAGAACAAGGGCAGAATCGCACGATTTTTGTCCGCCAAATTTGAAACAAAGGAAAGGTTCTGGTTCTGTTCAAAGTCAAACATGCTAGCACGAGTTCCCAGCGATACGTAATCCATACCCCGACAAAATAGCGAATTTCATAACTGGAAGCGGCACTTTGAGAACAAAGCGCAAAAGGAAGTTCCTGCGTTAAATCGCTTTCAAGATGAAACATCGCGATGAAAACGAGAGGCGAGATGCCCTTTGCTGCGTTTCGGACTCAGTGCCCTCGAGCCCTCTATGTGCTGTACGTCATATGAGTGAAAGGTAAAGTATAAGATGAGTGCCAAAGGCTATCTTTCGAGGAAATACGTGGACGCCACGCTCGTGGTTATTGAGGTTGGCAAGTAAAGCTGCTGATTATTGACGGGCGCATTGAAAATTAAAGGAAAAAAGCTGAGCAATATCGGAGAAGTAGGAATGCAGCAAATAGTTGCGTCATGTACGATACGCGATGGAAAACAGAAAAGCGAATGGGATACTGTAATAAAATGCGGGGTACGCAATTTAAAAAATTGTCACCACGGGGACAATAAAAATAGGTTGAAGAGCCGATGTCCCAAAGTAAAATGCACGGGGTCGGATTTAGGACTATTCTAAGGACGCTGCTTTGAAAAGCTTCCATATTGATCGAACTTAGACGATCTTGAAGGATCATTCTGATAGCCGTTAGATTTTTTCCTGTGGCCAATAAAAAAAATCTAGTTATCGAAAAATTTCGTTATTTATTGCTTATATAGAAATCAGAGTGCTGCAGTATGTTAGCTGGCTTTTCCGTACGACCGTGTTGGACAAATATAATCTGTAAGCTAAGCTTCATAAAACTAGTAACTCCTTAGCCGTTTTGGCCAGGGTTTCTCGTGTTGAAGAGAGGATTCGAAAGACTTCAAGATAATTTACTTGTTAGACCCCTGCTAAGTTAACTAGCACTTGCGTACTACTTGTCGAGGTCAACTGTTTCCATCGACGTGATTCCAACTGGTGTTTTTTTCCTGAAGTTTATGTAAGTGACTCTGTCCAGAGTTATGCTCCTCCGGTAACTGAAATGAAACCGTCAAGACTCAACATGGCCGTCAAGTTTATACAATCGTTTCACTTTATGCCAATTAATCTTGAGCCAAGAACATCTAAATTAGGTGCTCGCGTCTTGATATCGGTTATTGATTAGTGTTAAAAAATAACGAAACAACAATAAATGTGATTAAAAAAAAAAAAAGAAAGTAGTAACGATTCGAGCAAAATTATCATTGGGTAACTAGGTACAAGAATGCTAGGTCTCTTCCATACGCGACCTTTCCACTTTTTTCAGCCAAGTCCATTCGGCTAAGCCTTATTTCGCCTTTATCTTACCGCCTATGAGGAAACTTCAAATGAATCATTTTGCTCTATTTAGATTTACTGTTACTTATCGCATAATAACAGCGTCAACATAAGCAAAAAAAAAAAAAAAAAATAGGTAACTCATGTCGGCCAAAGTTGCGTCGTATATTAATGGTCAGTGCTTGATACTTGTCCTAATATTACGATGTCGGTATGAATGAGCTCTTAAACCGTAGGCGGATATTAGTTCCGGCTAGGGTTCGTTAAATTTTACAATATCTGAAAATTTACCTCGAACGCTATGTATATAGTTATCATTGAAGCGGCTAACGTAAGCGATGAAATGCAGATCATTTTTTCGGAGATGGAGGGACACATTTCATTATCAAGATAATTAGTACGTTTGCATTTATATGCGTAACTAATTAATAAGCTGACTAGGCGATAGTCTTTGGCAGTAAACCGTAAAAGTCGCAATAGTATTCACTAGTTTGACGCTCGTTGGGCTGATTATACAACGGTACCTTCTGCTTATCTTCACTTCGATCAGAGCTCGCATCGGAACGACGATTCGCTAGGGGTCTGCTGTCACTAATGGCAGCTGGAGATTATCTAGTACGTAGCTAATACGTCGTTCTATATGATGATATACGTTTCGATAAGTAACAAGTTGCAAGTAGATCAATTCGACTGGCATGCTGAAACGTGTAGCATTTATTCCTATAACTATGATGAGTACATTCTGTAGCAAATTAGATGGAACGTATAGGCAAAAAGATCGGTGATGTCTAGTGTCGAACAATTTAATTAACTATTAGACATAAAGATAACTCGTTGAGAGACGGCCGTGGAGAGTATTAAAAGATACAATACAATATCAATATTGAATACCACTGGCATACAATGCTCTTAGTACGATTCGGTTTTAGATCATGTCCTGCTATATCTGCATGTTTCGCTACTATTGATTGGGTGTTGATTTGGGCTTTGGTCAAAAGATAGAGCATCGTTCTTGTCACGAGTCGGGAATACCTCTTTCATTGCATGGCCAGATAACCGAAAGTCCTGCTAGTTAGACCATGATCGTATTATGTCACAATCTGTGCAGGCCCGACTTATATTTCTGACGATTATACTTACTGGCTGGAGTTATCGCGGCCGCGGTGGTGACGCTTGCGCTGTACGCAACGTCAACGATGCTCGCACTGAAGCTGAATTACGGGTCGATTTCTCTAGGCTAACTATAATACAAGGACACAATTGTATTATGCCGCTTGCAGCAAGGGTCAGCTATTGCAATACGTCGTAGCGCAGGAGTCGGCCACTCCTGTGCCGTCTCATATTCATAGCTTCTTAAGCATATTTAAATCGTTTCGCTATTGGGACCTTGAGTGCGGCAGTCCATTGATCTTTCGCTCGCGTGCGTGTCCTACTATACCATGTATTGTTCCGTAAATAATCTGATTGAGAGTTGTGTAATTTGTGTGGGTAACGTGCGTACTATATACATACGTGACAAATTTATAACGGGAGTAATTTGAGGCGTAAAAGTTGACCGATGCCGACCATACGCTGGCAACTGTTCGTCTTGAGTAATCTGCGTTCTGCCCTGCAGTGGTTGGATGGCCTTAGAAGGAAAGCTTATGCATTAGGTCAAAATCGAATACAGGTGCTGTCATACATTTGAATACTATTGAGTTTCGACCAAGCAGTATCGTTGGCCACTTGATAGAGCAGCGATTACACAAATCGTCAAAGTGTATCCAACGAAATTTTCTATCAGACCCTTATTAGGACAGGATACATCGCAGGATGTTTACCATTATATATATATATATAGATATATATATTCGTGTCAACAACTTTTAAATTGTCATCACAAAAAAGTATTTGCCAATGAATCACTAGCCGTCGAACGGCAGACTAACATTCATCTTATGGATAGATCACGGAAGGCATGCCCCTATTGATTTCATTCTGTCACAGATTTTTTACCGCAGATCGCAGCAATAGTGGTCTACAATAAAAAGCGACGTTGGAGCAAATCACAATGTTGAAACGCTGGTTCACTGCTTGTCGTTCATTTGCGAAGTTGTTCTCAGCGACTGTAAGGAATGAACGTTGAACTCTTCGCAGGATGTGACAAGCTGTTAAAGATGTGTAAAAATTAAGCACGTAAAAACGCATTTCTAACCGTCGCGCAAATGTTTGCGCAGTAAATTCTACCTTGCAACATAACTACTTCGAGTACTATAGATTACTAGAATAAACGGGGTAAATTCTAATGGCGACCCAATCGACACTCATAGCAAAATTGTTAGTAAATGAAGTTTTCACTATGTCCGTGCGAGCATATGCCTAATTGTCCTGATAATGGCTAGCAGAAGTCCGTACAGATCGCCAGAACAGAACCCTACTTCCGACCTATAAAAAATGAATTCTCATCCTTATCTTAAGTATCATCTTTTACATCTGAGACAAGTCATACGTTTTGTTACCCTAACCCTTTAGGTTAGGTCGGCTGATCGTTTTTTCTGAGTAATTCACCATTTATCATTGCAGTAGTGAACAAAATTTTATGGTCTTCAGCCTTTAGTCCTAATTAGACGGAGTTAGCCTTACGGGTGACTTTTGATAAACACTCGTTATGATATGAAACTACGATTAAACATTATGGCACGGAGTACATAATAATAATAGTTCATTCGGATAATTTTTTCTCGAATGAATTGATCTCCTTTGATTGGCTCTTATCTCAGTAGAATGACAGATCGTCTAGCCACCCCTTGATGGACCCTATGGCGGCAAACGGGAGACAACATCAACAGCGGCATAACATTTCAATAGTGAAAAATACCGTAAACGTCCGCTATACGTGTTTGTATTGATCGATAGCGGAAACGACATGAGCAGGTGGTGAGGTGCAGTATGCGCCAGCAAAATTACCTCGATGGCGGTCATAGTGCATGTTGGCGTACTCACGCTATCCCTTTAACTACTACGTGAACGCATCACGTTTTCGATAGAACTTTTGGGCGGTGAGCAAATGTGACGCCATCTCGAATACCAGCAGCGACGAAAACTTCAACGATACCAGAAGCGATCTGGAGAGTCGGACAAGTGGACGAGCGTCTATTTGTTCGCCTTATCGCCGACGATCAGGCTAACTCGATTAACAGCCCATAGTGACAACAGGCCAACGGACGGATAGTAGAGCTGCAACAGCATCTAGCTGCTCCTGGAAGTTGGACAACAGTTACAGCTGCCCAGAGATCTTATCACATTTCTGTTGTGTTTAAAAATGAATATGATGCACGCGATTTCGGAACATAAATGCTACCGTCGGAACAGAGCTGGTCGGTAGGCAATTCACTGCTATAAATGAGTAAACCAGATCTGCTTGAAGAACGATTGAATTCCAGCGGAATTCTGTCAGGGGTAGCGACAATACAATGCTGTGTATCCGCACGCCGATCAGCATTAGACA